ACACGATAACGAAACGTTGAATCATGTAGAACTCGTAGGGTAAATGCAAAGCAATTTAGTAAGAATATGCAGTAAGCTAAGCGAAGAGGTAAGCAAGAGACATGTTAGACTACACTACAACTACTAAACGAGTTAGTGCTACTACTACACTACTACTACAAACAAAAAAAAATAAAAACATCTACAATCAACAATCACTTCAAATAAAATGAACAAAAATAAGCATGCAAAATAAAAATTAATTTGAATAAAATGAACTTAATGAATTCTACTAGATAGAGCATGCAAGATAAATAACTATTTCAACTGCGGGGTCATCTTTGTCTTCTCCAACGTCGATCTGAAACAGATACGGTGGTAACAGATTAATAAAGAGCAATTAAAATTAATTATATCAAGTATTCCCACCTTAATTAATTGTAGACTGTAACTTTTCAAAGTTTGCAGATGTTACATGCAGACCAAATCCAGAAGGAATACCACAGCACAAAATGTTGTTTCAGTAAATCTCCTGTTGTTCTTATTTATCAGTTGAAAATTAACTTCATGATGTTGCAAGGTGAAGACGAAAACAGCAAATCAAGAATATGTAGTTCACAAAAGACACCACTGTAGACCTTGGCTGTTTCAGTATGACCAAGTTGAACCTTAGTCTCTTTCATTTGTTGGATAATCTGCAGAAATGACCAAAAAACATATTAATTACATTGTTTATTAAGGAAGGCAATAAATACGCCTAAGTCAAACACAAAAAATTTACTGTGGAAAACAAGTAAATATCAAATAACAAAATGAAGACGTATGTCACTTTATTCATAGATAAAAGTTAAAAGCATAGGTACAATAGAAATAATAGATACCCAACGTTATGAACAATAGATCGTTGCTAGACTACCATAAATGCACGCTATCATCAATTTATGCCGTGGGCAATAGATAACAGAAGAGAAACCATAGATCCCAAAGATCGCCATTGCTGTGAAAATTACCGTGATAATAATAAACAATTACTAACCTCCAGGATTATTGTAGACAGTACGGTGCTCCAGTTTTATTACTAAACGTTGCCAACGGAGAAATACACTGATGGTTGAAATGAGCCAACAAGCAAGAGACAGAACATCACGGAAATTGCACCTCTCAAGTACAAGAGGAGATTGTGGAGAGTCCAAGTTTCCAATCCTAATTTTTTGTTTCTTTGCAACAACCTGTTGAAATAATTTAATGTTAATTAATTATGTTGTAAAATATTAAGAACTGTAACTTCCACCAGTTAAATAATAGACTATGGAAGTAACTCTGTCATTAATTATTACAATTTAGAAGAAAATTACAACCACAAATGCAACTTCACAAAATAATTAAAGATTTCTTACTGTTTCCACAAATGGGCCTTTTCCAATCCCAAGAGAATAATTTACGAGTGGGACTGCTTTTCCATACTTCAAGCCTTTTTGATCCACTGTCTTCATATTCATTTATTATTCTGTTAAAACAACTTAATATTAGTCATATGTGCACTATGTTTTTGTTAATGATTTTAGCTATAAAACGAAAGAAATTTTTCACGATGTGGTCATAAATATGAAAAATCGATAATCATCGCCTAAAACTGTTTTCAAAATTCAATAATTCTATCAAAATCGTAATTCATCGACCCCAAATAAACTGAGAATCTAAAAATTTACAGTAGATGAGTAGACAAGCAACACGCCAAGATAAAATTCCATGTTGGAATACGAAACCAGCACGCCAGCGAAGTCGTTCACACCAAAAAAATCTATGCAACGCTAATCGAACCCCATCAATTACTAAATATAAAAAGTATTCCACACAATCAAATGAAAACCGAAGAAGAATTAGAGCTAAATACCTTCAGGCGTCGTCTTCGTTTACGGAGAACAAAAACGTTGGCTCGTCTTCTCGAAGAGCGAAGACAAGATGCATAGATAATGACATCATCATTATTGAGCGAGATCGCCGAAAGATCCAAAGATGATAATAGTTCCTTCGATATTTATGAGACGTAGATTATAGATTTTATAGTTGCGTTCAATTATACTAACTCAGTTTAATTCGTAAATAGCAACCGATGCATCATTAAAAAAAAAACTCCCAACAAAACAACTACAACACTAACAGAATATTTTTATGACTACTTATATCAATTTCTAAAAATTAATGCAATATTTCCAAGTAAATTAATTAAAAATACAATTTACGTAGATTCTTGGTGAACATATACATTACAAATGAAGATACTTGATTGACTGATAATTTGTTTATGACAAATTTCCAACAGAAAATTATGGTATTAACATTTAAAGAAGCTTTCTTTCTATCTTGCTGAACTACTGTTTTATTAACAAATTCATTACAATTGATGTTAATAATTTCTTACCATTTTTCTCCTGAATTCAGTTAAAAATTGATAATTTGTTTATAACGAATTGACAACATAAAATTATGGTACTAATGTTTAGAGAAGCTTTCTTTCTATCTTACTGAACAATAGACAAAGAACGAAAATTAACTTTGGTATTAAATAAAGACACCTAAAAGTAAGTAATAAAATACAATTTTAAAGTGGCGTAGTGTGAACTTAGAGATAAGTGAAAGGAAAAATAATAATTACACAAGGTACCATTATAAGAAGCAAAACAAGCATTTCTAATGCTCAAAATATTCTGCTCCTCATAAAGTCGAAATATACGCATTGTTTTTGTAATAGCTTATAAATAAATTTAATATAAACGCTGCATCACCTATTTTATACAAACTTCTATTATAAAGAACTCAATTTTACTCTAATTTTTAATAATTACTTACCAATTTATCGTCGTAAATCCTTCCATTAGCAACAGCATTGGTACTGCCTGTTTCCAGTGAACAAAAGGTATTCTATGCTTCATTCAGGGACTGCTACATCCTGGAGTGAAAAAGGACTAATATGACCGATATTCCATAGCAAATGGTATCCAGAATTTTAACAGGAACATTTCTGTAAAATGAAGTATTATGAGTGTTCAGACTTAACTGTAATTATTNGTGAACATAAACATTACAGATGAAGATACTTTTTAAAATTGTTCCCTTGAATTCAGTTAAGAATTGATAATTTGTTTATAACAAATTTCCAACAGAAAATTATGGTGTTAATGTTTAAAGAAACTTTCTTTCCATCTTGCTGAACTACTGTTTTATTAACAAATTCATTACAACTGATGTTAATTTCTTACTATTTTTCTCTTGAATTCAGTTAAAAATTGATTTGTTTATAACAAATTTCCAACAGAAAATTATAGCATGAATGAGTAAAGAAACTTCCTTTCTATGTTGCTGCATCACTGTTTTATTAACAAATACATTACAATATGATGTTATTAACTTTTACCATTTTTTCCTTGAAATAAGTTGTAAAATGAAAATAGTAAATTACCTTCAATTTGATTCAAGACAATAACCCACGAGAAATTTGTGGTACAACTACCACTTTCCCATGGATAGAAACACTTTCAAGCCATTTGAAGGTTTCATGAAGTGATAAGTTATATCCTCATTGTAGGCACTTTCATGGTTGATTGAAGTGGTGGTATGTTCTGGAGTGAAAGGGGACTACCACAACAATATAATATCACATACTAATATATTGTTATAGTCTTATAAAGAGTACAGAAGGTGAAAGCTGAATACAAGACAGTAATGTTGAGCATCAAAGGAAAAACTTGTTCACTGACAAAACATTTTAATTAGGTCATACCTTAATAATAATTAAGTCCACAAGAATAGGACAAGTCAACGAGACTCAGGAATATGAGGGAATCATCATTCATTGCATACCATTCATTTGTGATTAGTTTGTAACAGCGAAATAAACTTCAATACACTTTTATGTAGATATATAGAACAATCTGTAGAAGGGAATAAGAAAAAACTAATTAGCTGTACTATTAATGAAGAGCACATGAAAAATACCTAAAACCAATTAAAACTAATTTTAAGTAAAACTGCAAGATTATATGGCGACGAACTGTCAGTGTGAACCATAGCATTTGCATAAACCCATAGATTACAGATATATAATAACTTATATACCTCTTGTCTATAGCATAGACACCACAGATAAAATAGACACATGTCATAGATAATAGATATGAAAACAGCAGATATCATAGACAGATAGATAATGTACCATTGAAGAATAGTAGAATGAATTCGTATGTTCAAAAATTGTATATGAAAACTGATGTAAATTTTCTTTTTCTGTTGCAAGATTTTTTAAATAACGTTACTAATAATTTTTCACTTAAAATTTTTTTGTACGCCTTCCCTTTCCTTATAATAATAATAATCTGCCACAAAAATTTTAACCTAATTTGGAGTTATTTCGATGTTACTCTAAAATGTTTAGTATAACTACAGCGCATAATGCAATCCTAAAAAATTAAAAGCAAATACAAGGCATTTCTTTGCTGAGGATAGAATCCAGTGGGCTAATTTAGGACTTCAATAAAAAAAAATACTTTTCTCTCATACACGCCAATAAAAAGAAAACAAAAGGAAATTTAAATAAAAATCACGATATAGGTATATAAACTTAATAAAAGTGAACATTATTTAACTTTAATTTGTTGCTAATTCCGTAAAAAAAATTACATCACGCGATCCCAAAGAAACATCTACACCATCACTCAAATTTATTACCTCATCCTCAGCATCGTTTTATGTTCGCCTTTTGAAAATGATAGGTATAAAAGGTAAATTTAATAGCAAATAGATATAAAAAAGAAGTATCCGTCTTTAATGGCCACAAAAAACATCAAACAATTTCGTCACAAAAAAAAATATTGTTTTAAAAGTTTTATCTGGTACCGTCAAAATGTAAGATATGAATCGCGATCGAGCTCTAACTTGCTATTTCATGTCGTAGTTAATACTATTATATACCAATATTTAAAATTATTCATGTTTAACCTAATTATCAAGTTGTTTGTATATCTCTCTTTCTATACTTTTCATAACAGAAAAATAAAAACAGTATAAAGCAGAGTTGTTTAAAACTCCCTTCGATGATACTTGTCTGGATCGAAGTAGGAAGTAACAACAACCCTGTTACTAAACTTTCGACCAGTGAGGGCTTGCTGTGCCTTTTGACAGTCCAAGACAGAGTTGAATTCGACAAATACCTGTAAAATAAAATCTCAACGTTTAACAAAATAATTCCGCAACATGAAGTTATTTTGCCTAAACAACCTAGATACATAAAATTACCTTTCCACATCCAGGAACATCAACTCCTTCTATTGGCCTCGGTATTTCTATGCTCCTGACTACTCCATGTTTATTACATTCCTCCTTAATGTCCTCAAGGATATCTTCATACTCTTCTTCGTCCTTTAATTCGTCGGGAGTCACCTTAAAACAAAAAGACAATAAGTAAAAATTAATTTCATTAAAACTATTTGCTTTTATTGTCCTACCATATTAAGAAGGCAAAGAACTTCTGTGGCCGGTCCAGAAGCCCCCACGAGACTGAGTCCAGGCACTTGGATCTGAACACTTGGCAAAACAGTGGCGTTCTTTGCCCCGACACTTGCCCTCTGAACTATCAGCTTCTTGTCACCCAACTGCATTCCATTTAAACCTGCTATGGCCTAAAAATTTACAATTAGAAAACAATACAACATAAATTAAGTATAAAACGACCATAAATGATAGCAAAAATTTTATTTAAAAAGTCTAACGAAAATTTTCCAAGAAAGTAATTACTGCAAAATAAAAAACTGTAAAACAATTTCATTTATATAAAAATGACAACCAACGCTTCATCTCTTAGGCCCAAAGATGATTGAAGTCTAAAATTAACAGAGGTGTAAAAATTTAAATAAAAAAGAAAATTTGGGATGCTTACTCAATTTTTTTTTTAAATCCTACGGTGTTCATTATAAACTTTTGTAGAAGGTGCTTTGGTACATGTTACAAAGTCAGGCATTAGTATTAGTTAAAGATGTATAAAGATAAAACAACAAATAGTTGTTGAGTATTGATTAAATTTTAATATAAAATTTAGCTATTACCTGGTCAGTCATAGTGATGTCAATGTATTCTGCAAAAGCGTATCCCTTACTCAATCCTGTTGCAGAGTCTTTGACCAAATTGAAGGCCCTAAGCTGCCCGAACGACATTAACAATTCTTTTACCTAAAAACAGGAGGAAGAAATTCAAACAAAAACCATTCCCAGACCTAATTTGGGATAAACGTAAATCTGCAAACTATTTTTTATCTAGTCAATTACAAAATAAAACTTAAGTCATCACTCACGATGAAGTTGTAATAAAATGCTTTACATTACAATATTGCAGATTTATGTTTTTTTTTAATTTTTCAGACAAATTCGAAGGGGAATGAATCGATTTTTGGAAGAAAAGGAACATAAAATTTCACGCGCTGTAGTCGTTTTTGAAAAAATAAATTAAACATCCCCTCGTTTGTATTCGCGTTTCGTTATATAAATCAATCGATTTTCTAAAATAAGATGAAAACGAAATCAAACTTTTTTAAAAGGGTTGGCTCACGTTTTTTTTTACTAGTACGTACAGAGAGAGTAGTTGTAGCTGTTGTTACATTGTCACTTTTTTCGGTCTACATAAGTATATAAGACTTGCCTGTACACATCCAAATAGGCATCATGATCATTATCGAGTAGCAGACTCTTTCGTATTCTTTTTCATTATTTGTTCCGACACACACGAACCCTAGCTATAGGGCAAAGAAGCAAACGTCATCAGTTAAGTAACAAAATAAAAAATTAAATATCACAGAAAAAATAAGTGAGAGACATCAATTAGCTAAAGAACTATTAATTAATAAATTAATTAATTAATAGGGATTATTTAAAATGTACTATTGTCGTGTACAGCCAACAACATCCATTTGGACTTTTGAACTTTTATTTTATTGACGACGCTTCTTTTACTCTACGTGTGTTATATGCTTTATTCGTATTTTCGCTAAAATGTGTACCTAAAGAGGCTGAAAGGGGACCTGAAAATGGACCTTTTCAATCTAAACTTGTCACAAGAATGAACAAACTCGTAATGAAAAAAAAAAAAAATTTCACACTTCTGTTTAATAAAAGATATCCTTAATCAATAATGAAAAAGTAAACTTAAAATTCTTTTCTAAATCGATGACAAATATCCTTTTATTTTATTTTTTAATTGATTGTAAATTTTAAAAAAGTGCTAACGAAGTCAAAAAAATATTATTAATTAATTACATTACGTGTCTCTTTTTTGCATTGTTTTTTGACGAGTTCGTCATTTATTCGAGTTTAGGTGAAAAGGGATGCCAATGATTCCCGAAAACCAAACCCTGAAAAAACAACCGGGACGTACGAATACCTAAAAGAACTGCACTGCAATCGAAACATTTTTTGAATACCTGACCTTAAAGAAAAAGAACCCTGCAAATTTAATAATTTTACTTTGATCGATATGTGACGTTCCTAAAAAGCCTGAAAAATGTAGCAACAACCTGAAAGTCAACTTGGGGAAAAAATAAAATGTAAAATAAAAACGTTCTGGTACAACACCTGTAAAATTTAAAGAGAAATACAAAAGGACCCTGAAAAAAGCATATTTATCGCCTTGTGCTTTAAATGCGCCTGAAATTGCTGAAAAATGATCTAAAACATGAGGAGCCACCTATTCAAAAATATTCTTAATTTTCTGCGTTGATATGAACAACTGAATGAACGTGTACATTCTTTTTTTCGATTTATATGATTTAAAAGGGCTATCTATCAAGCGTTTCTAGAAATTAAACAATTACCTGATCTTCGTTCAGATAATTGGGAAGTCCCCCGATGAATATTTTGTGGGGCGAATCAGGCACTACAGTACTTATTACCCCTGCAGGAACTGTAATTGATGTTTCTGACATACCTGGCATAGGTTGGTAATCGTGAGGCCTTCGAATTTTCAAACTTTGACCTGAAAAAGTTAATAAAAACAAAAAGTCAAACAAAAAATAAGACTGTAATACTGCCAAAAATTTCAAGAATAAGTGTTAAAAACTTTTATACATATTATATTATTGTAATACAATTATACGAACTTTTACATACAATTAATAGTTTACAAAAAGTAATGTTATGGAGAAAATTAACCTGTAAACTTTAAATTAGTTTTTAACAATATAATGAGTAATAAAAGCAAATAAAAAAAAGAATAATTAAACATGATTTGGTTACAATGCCACTATCAGAATTTTATTACAAACTACAAGTGAATATATGATGCCTCATTTAAACAGCACAGGTACATAATACCTACTTAAATGGGGCATTCTATATTCTTGGGTAGTTTGTAATATAAGGCTTTGATAATGGCATTAGAGTCAAAACATGTTGGAGTAATCTTAAAAATAAATTAGTGATATTAATCAAATGTTTTTGTTATTAAACATATTTAAAAAAAAAATCACCAAACACTCAGCATAATAACAATTATACATATTATTATTTACCTTTAAAATTGATTCCATCAAATGCCATTGCCTGTGTTGTTTCATCAATAGACCTAAACTCTAAAAAAGCAAAATTTTTATCCAAATTTATCTGACATGCAAGGACAGGATTGCCAGCAGCCTGGGCCAGTCCACTCAAATGCATCTGCTGATTGAAAAACTCCATCATCTCTTCCTCTGTCACACCAAAGGGAATGTTGCCCACATACAAACGTCTTGCCTGCCTTGTAATGGTGGAACCGACAACAGGAACTGCAGCTTGTGGAGTATCTGCAACGATATTTGCAGGAATTTGTCCGGCGGCCTGCATAGCCTTATACTGAAGAGGTGTGATATGTTCAAAACCTGGAGGAGGCACATCCCAATATAGAGATGGCTTACGACGACGAGAGAAACTTTTATGACGGGATCTACGATTAATTAATATTAAACTACGTAACTATTGTGCTTTCGCATCTTACCCCGATCTACTTCTTCTACGCCGGTCACGACTCCTTGAACGAGATCGTCTTCTGTGTTCCCGCGAACGGGATCTTCTACGACGATCTCTGTCCCTATCTCTTTCACTTGAACGACCCCTTTCTATTAAAACAGTATTTTAAAGATTAGAATACTCATAACTTTTTTACAGCAAATTGTATAAAGAATAGAAGTTGTCTAATAACGTGTACATGTGTAATATTTTTTTAATTTACCTCTATCTTCACCCATTTTTATTTTGTTCAATCTTTTTCAACAATTTTTCACGGCAATAATGTGGTTACAACAAATTCTATATCACTTTAAACAAACAACTGTTTATTCAATTCACTGCCCTTTTCGGCGTTATTAACTACAAGATGGCCGAATAATGAACCTAATTTTAACCTAAGCATAGATAAGAATGGAATCATATAGAATCAATGAGATACTATCTATGATGAAATACTATAGATAATGGGATAACTTCATATAAAAATCACCCGACACAAAAAATTCTACATCGACTTTTTATTAACTTTAACTAGTTTTAACCAAAATTGGCAATTGAAAAGGAAAACAATTAAAAATCACGAGTTTTATTTTATTGTGGATCTTGTAGTATAAATTGCGTATTTTTTTAAAGAAAATCAAGAACATTTTATCGAAACCTACAGAAATTGATAGCAATTCAAATTATATGTTAATTATTAACATTAGCAAAGGTGATTGGTCGATTGTCAGAAGTCCTCGCATGGCATTTATTTCTATGGTGTCCAGTTACATTAAATTGTGAGTCAACAGTTACTCAAAAAAAGTGCACAGTAAGTGCATATTTCACTTGCAATATTTCACCTTTTTATTTTATTTTGGTGAGTAATTTTGGCACAATATGATGAAACTTGTTTTGAATCTGCTGCAATTAACGTATGTGTTACATAAGTATGTAATAAGTGGCGTAGTGTAACCGCCCGTAATTAATGTACATAGACAGTTTAACTTTCATTAATTTTGTTGTTGAATAATTTATTTCCTATGCAACATTATTTAAACATGTTTCGTTTATTTACAGAAGGCGTGCAATAGTTGTCTGGTTTTCCTAACGACGGTGACTGATGTCACTGACATTAAAATTAAGAAAAATGATAACAGGACCATGATAAGGCTGTTCTGACTGAAAAAAGTGTTGTGATTTGTTCTTGTTCAAAGCACAGTTGTGCTTGTTTAACAATAAGTGTGCTGTGTGTGTCCATTCAAAATCTGTCACTACAACATTTCATAAAAATGTCGGAAGATGGATATTCAGATTCATATGATGAACCAGCAATGGACTTAGTTATTGAAACCCTCACAGGAACATCATTTGAAATGAAAGTTTGCCCTTCAGATACCATCTTGGACATAAAGAACAAAATACAAAGAGTTGAGGGTAAGTCATCTTTAAATTGTAAAACTTTTGTGGTTCCAAAAGAAATACCATTACTTTGTTTATTTTAAGTTCATTGGCAAATAGCTGTGCTATTTATAACTTCCCTTATCAAGAGATAACAATTGCTTTTTCCTTGTTTCTTTTATTATTTTTTTTCTGGAAATAATTATTAAAGATAATACAATTTGACAAATCTTGATTGTGTTTGTGTATATTTTATTAATCAAAGAATAGGTGGGTGTTTGAATGACAAGGTTATTTGCAGATTAGTAAATATTTGTTTGGTTTATTTTTAGCAACAACTAATAAACAATGAAAATTTTTATGGCTTTAACACATCATATATTTAAAAAAAAAAAAAAAAACAGATATACTTAATAAATCCAAGTTTTTATGAATTGATTCAAATTGATTAATAGAAAATATTGAAATAAGGGAGTAGTGTTCAATGCAATGAACGTGTATTTTTTTATTGAACACTTTCTCTTTAGGAATACCAGTACATCATCAGAACTTACTGTATCGACTGAACGAATTAAAAGATCACAACCGATTGTGTGACATGGGCATTCAGAGTGGATCAGTTTTAAAACTGGTGCTGTCAATGCGAGGTGGCCCCATCTCAACTCGAAGACTGTCCAGTACTGACCAGCATATTTGGAAGAACCTTAAGGAACTGCTTGAAAATACAAGGTGCATAACTGACTATTTTTACACTCTTTAGAATAATTATTTAATACTAACAACCACTTTAGGGAAGAATTGGGTGACAAATTAGGACCTGGATCGAAAGTGTCTGTCCTGGTGTTCAAAGATGGTGACATAATTAATTTAATCCGTGTTATAGAAAATGACGCAGACTCACTTTATCCTCTGGGAGAAACGGTATCATCACGAGGCAAGCAGACTGTCCGGGAGGACACCCGCGCTTCCTTTTGCACTAAACTGAAAGAGAACGACGAAATGCTGACCAAACTGACTGAATTGAGGAAGAAAATGTCCGAACTGACTCTCAAACGTAACTTACGACACATGGGATGCTCTAGTGACACAGCCTGTTGTCACGAGCTGGCAAAAACGCAAAACGAACACCAGGAGGCGACGACCTCCAAGCAGAAGGCTACTGCATTGTCATCTTCATCTCCTAGTAGGAAAAAAGATAAACATGGGAAAAAGCAACGAGATTCTCTGTATGACATATCATTTAAGCTTCTCGAAGATTTCGATAAAAATAATGAAGACAGTGAAAGCCCTGGTGCCGGTAGCGAAACAGACCTAGTTCGGGAAAATTTACAGACCGACGAGGACTCGATTGCTCTGAAAGAAAAACATCGGGGGAATAAGAGCAAACATAATTTTTTATATACAAACTTGAGTGAAACGAGACTCAAGCCAGATAAGGTGACATCTTCTCCGTCGCCGGGTTTTCACTGCCGTAGAAAATCGGATGATTCTACAATCTTTGCTACAGAGAATCGTGAAAAACCGAACTACAGCCATCATCATCATCACGCTCAGTGTTACAAGAAGGTAAAACTAAGTCCAAAATCGACACGAAAAGAGGCGCCGAATTTGGACGAAAAGGTGACAATATGGTCTCCATTATCACCTATAATAAGACGTGCGAGGTCCCAAGAACCTGAAGTACCATGTCAAATCGATCTTGCAGCTGCAGCAGCAACAGCAACATCAACGTCCCCCACGTCCTCCATAGCTATCCTAGAAGAGGAAGAAACTGAAAACGATGACAAAGAGTTACTATCTCCAATCGGATTCCCTTGTGTTGGTACAGTGTCCATGTCTAAGGTCCCCGTCCATCTCGTCTACCCCGACAGGAAAAATGAAAAACTCGACAACTGTGATATCTATCCCGAAGAGCCTAAAGAGACGACTTGCAGAAGCACAGCAAATTGCAAATTTGGTTTAGTTCGTAGACGCCAAAGTCTTGATTGCACCTCCAGAAGCGCCAATCAGCCCTCTGAACAATCAAAATCGAGCTTGTACAAACAGTCTTGGTTCGAAGAAGTCAGTGGTGACCTGTTCTTTCCTCATTTCGTCCCCATGGGTCCTAGTGCTATTCCTAGCGAATACACGCCTCGAGAAGATCCTCTCGGGGACTTTTGTTTCGATAATTACTCGCGATATCTCAGGTCTCCCCTCTACAGACGCCAGTCACAAATGTCAGATGAAAGCAGCACCTCCTCAAGAGGTGGTGGAGGGGGAGGCGGTGTAAAACCGAGAAATTTGAGACATTTCTCTTGGAATGCCGAACTGCCGACTGAAAAGGAGGAGAAATTGGAAAATGGGGAGGAGGGCGGGAAAGAAGACAGGGAATACGTGAAAAAGGAAGTGCTAAAGTTACCTGCGGTCGTTGCGAAAAAGAAAATCCGGTGCGGACTATGTAACAAAAGACTGAATATCACGAATGTGTACGACTGTAGGTGCGGGGGCGTGTTCTGTTCGCAACATCGGTACTCGGAGGTGCATGGGTGCAAGTTCGACTACAAAACGGAAGGTCACAAAATGCTGCAGAAACAGAATCCGCTTGTTATCGCGGAAAAGCTGCAAAAGTTTTAACTTTTTTACGATAACTTTAATAAAACCCAACAAACATACAAACAAGATACTTATATTAATCGGAAAGAGGAAAAAAAGGAGAAAAATTTGAAAATTACTAGGACGGAGGGAGGGGCTTGAGAACATTACACTACCGACTGCCGCTACTGTTGCATCATATTCCCGTTGTCTTACTACCATTATTATTATTATTATATTATTATTATTAATATTACTATTGCGTGTGTAAATTTCAGTGATTGTGATTTTTTTTTCTTTGGTTATTACTTTATTTTTTTTTTCTTATGTGCACACTGGCGTCCCAAAATCTAATAAACCTGTTGTAAAATTGCCCCTTGTTGATGATGATGAATAACAGTTGTTGGAGATTATTCGACCCGAAAGTTGCAAAAAGTGGCAGGGAAGAAGGAAAATTCATAATTACTGGAGTTTCTTTGTATTTGAATGTTGAAACCTTTTTTTAAACTTTTATATGTATAATTAAAATAGAAACGTTCTACCAGCCAGCCAGCCAGACAGACAGACAGACGAAAGCATACTTTAAAAAATACCTTTTGCATTTTTTCAAAAGTTTTAAATAACGAATTTACAAATAATATCTGCTATCTTACATTTTTTAATGAGTAATTTTATTTTATTTATGTATATCTAGTCTTCAAAATACTTGTAGCAATGCAATGTAATCAAAATGCTTTTTTTTAATATAAGCTAACTTATTTTAATTAATTAATTAAGTATATTACGGAATACAATAATAAAGACTGACTGAATAATATACAAAAAAAAAAAACAAAAAAATGCTAAAATAATCTATCAAAATTACCTAACGAAATACAACCACTTTTTGTACACTTAATGGGTCATAGAAGTTGTATTTATAAGTTGTTATTTATTTTGTAGCGAAAGGAATTGTTTTAGAGGTGAAGATTCCTTATTGGACCGCTTTACTTATATTAAAAACAAAAATATCGTATAATTCATATATACAGGGTGTCACACTTTTCCAGCATACGATTTATTTTTATCGTCCGCACATATTATTATAACATTGTGTATCGTTTTAAGTAATAGATAGATATAACTATTATTAACTTTTCAGGTAGAAAACGTCTTTTTTTAATCAATTAACCCCGAAGAAAATAATGGCGCGTAAGTCACCCTGTATTTATTACAACACGATCTTGAATTACCATATTTTATATGTAAATATTTCTATACTCCTTATATATTATATGTTATTTTATGCTCTTGTATACATGTAACGCTGCATATTCTGCTGAATGTTCCTTTTTTCGAATCTTACCGTCCTTATTAAGAAAATGATGAAAAAAAAATCGACTAACAATTTATTAATTTAGAAGCTTTATCTATTTCGTTGTGACAAGTGTAACTGGACTCTTAAGCCTTAGAAATAAATAAACTTTACTGTCGAAGTACTAGAGCTTCTAACCCCCCTTTTTCAATTCTAAAATTTATTTAAAAGAGCCCTTGTTATTTTTATTGTTATAGCCGGTTTAATAATGTGCTTAAAATACTGTAAAAAACTACAAAAAAAAGTAACTCGTAAGGAAAACTAACTGTCTTTTCTTATTATTCCCAACCCTTTTTATGAACGTTAAAACAAGCACTCAAATACATCGGCAATAATAATAATAATGTGTTAATATTATGGGTGCAGTATGATGAGGGATATTGTGCAAACGTTGCGGTGAATAAATTAATAAAAAAACATAAATAGCAACAATTAAAAAGCTAGACAGACTGAAACAATGAGAGTATAGAGTACCAACCAACAATAGAACGACAATGGAAAGACAGAAACAAGACACAACAATGTAAATATGGCGTGCCAACAATGAAACAACAAACATCAACAATGCGAATATGGATTTAAAAAATTATGCCAAGTAAAGTAGGCGTACCAACAACGGAACGGCAAATATGAAATGATAACAATGAAATTGCGAGGGGAAATTAGAAAAATCCATATGTCTTTTAGGTCATTTATTGACGACTATAAAAATTAAATAATATTGCACTTGGGCGTGAAAAATTTAAATTAATACATTCAATACCATTATTCATGGAGCAAGTACAATTACATTAAATCCAAGGTCCAGCTTTAAATTTTCAGTCTTAAAACTATTACGCTCCTTTCGAAAAGGTGCAAAATTTCAACACCAACAGTTAAAAACGTGTCGACAAACCAACCCAAACATACAGTGTTCTTCCACAAGAAAAAAATTAAAATAAAATATTTATTCGTTGTCTCAAAGTTTCCACTACGTATATATGGCATTCATATTATTTCCTACATGATATTTTACTCGTTTTCAGTCTTGGTTAAAAATCCCTCGAATATTTTAATTAAATTTTCCAATCCTTCGAGGTAATTCTGATCAATCTGACCATTCTCTGCGGGAAAGACGTGGGCAAAATCGATCATTTTAACCGTTGCCCACACCTGGTTCTTGTTATCGTTGACCAGGTCGTCCAGCATGTCGAAATACTCCTTCTTCATGCTCTGGAGGTCGTGGTCGAAATTATTTTTGAACGAGTGGACACGTTTCAGAGTCTGTATCGACTTTTCCCATGGATGGTCGGGGTTCAGAGTTTTGGGCGGGGGCAAATTGAACCCGTTAACAGCTTTACTTGGATTCCTGCTCAGACTGAATATCGGACCGTCTTGGGATATCTGGCCGCTGAATCCCGTCGGGATGCCCTCGTTGCCGTTTATTTGCATAAGACTTAGAGGTTTATAGAGACACGTCGTCTTTGGAAATGATGGGAGCGGAGGTAACGAAGACGGTGCCCCCGAATCTGACATCAGTTGCTGCTTAAGACGTTTCGCGTCGTAAATGAGAAGAAGAGACGACGAGTAGATGCGATACTTGCGCTGACGACGGGCCCAGTGGAGGATTTTCCACAGGCTTACGAGAAATTGGAGCAACAGATGACGACTCAGTCCCGATTGGACGTTTAAAAATATTTTCAACGCTAAAATCAATCGTTAACTGTCATATGTACAGAGTGTGATGACAGTGAGGGAGGGGGACTTTTGTGCAGCACATTAGTAAATGATATTGCATAGTGGGGAACTACAACGAAGGGGGGGGGGTTGTTTGGAAAATAAGGAGAATAATGTTGTGCTCTTTGTTCCTGTTCGTTAGTTAATGTGTCGTTTAAATTCTTATTTTCTCGAGTATCCGTTTTAGCACTTTATTAAATTTAGCAACAGTATTCTAAAGATTGTTTTTTTTAATTAACTCTGAGAATTTTCTCAAATACCTATAAAATTTAGCACGTGGATGCGAAAACAACGTCATACAAATAATCAAAAATTTTAAATGTTTTCCCAGAAACAAAATACCATCAATTAATTCTTTTGTTTTTTTTTTTTGTTTACCAAAAAGTAAAACAACATAAAGTGCGACTAAACCGCTCAACTGTTTTGTGTAGTGCCTTTGTTGCTCTAAATGATTTTACAAAAAAAAAAAAAGAAAATTGGCTGACAGACTCACCGTCTTGCGTTGTATCTTTGTTCAATTTTTTTCCGTAGTCCTTCCCGTAACGACACAGACGTCCATTGGATATTTTGTAAACTTGGAATCCCGGTATGCAGAATCCCAGATCTCTCCTGCTTTCGTGGTACTTTTCCTGTAACAAAAAAAAAAACAATTTTTATTGCAATACAGCCGTAACAAGTTCAAAGAAAAACAATTTTCGTAATTCCTAAGTTATAACGGTTTGTTTTTTTCTTCCTCCAGCACTAACAAACAGTCGTAAACGAAAAAAATAAAATAAAATTTTAAAAGACGCAGTAACATAAAATAAAAAAACAAATTCGAATTAAATGCTGATTTTAAGGACCAACTGAAGCATTAAAAACAAAAACAATTACATAACAAACAACAAAACCAAAATTCATAATTGAATAGATTAAGTGGGCCTTGAATGAAAATGATATTAAACGTGAAAATAGGAAAGAAATAACTGAAATCTCATACATACCTATTTGTTTTTCTGACTTACATTTTCTCGTATGACCTTCTCATAGGAAGCCGAAGGGTCCCAACATCGTCTCCCGATTTTGACGTCCATAATGCAAGGGTCCTTAAAATTTTTAATGAGATCCTCCAGGACGATACATTGCACATCTTTGCCATTTATGCTGACCATCTTCGTACCGAAATATTTCGGTACGAATTGTTTCAGTTCCAACAGAACATCGTCACCAGTTTTTTCTAATTCTTCGTAGAAACTTATTTCCCTCTCACCATTCGCGGGTTTCGTTAGGGGCTTCAGGACCTTATCGTCCTGTTTTAAAAGTCCTACAATGTTCAGTAAAATTTATTAAAGAGACAAAGCAAATTTCATTTTAACTGACTAAACAAATAAACAAGAAAACCTTTCGTTAATTTTCTTTTATTCTTGGCTGTTTCCTTTTAATTAACCCCTGTATGTTTATTAAACAAATGTTCAAGAAAAGCTTTTGTTAATTGTCTTTTGTTTCTTTTTAATTAACCTCTGTTATTTATAAAACAAATGAACAAGAAAAGCGTTTGTTAATTTTTTGTTGTTGCTGATTGTTTTTTTTTTAACGGACCCCCGTACTTTTATAAACAAATTCTTTGTTCTTTTTGACGATGTCTGCCTCCTGTTCGATATAGAATACAATTATTTTTTATATAAAAATTCTAATATCGTTGACGTAACTTCTAATAATAACTGAAAATGAGTTGTACAAAGAAAATGTCCTTCATTAAATTATGCCAGGTAAAACGACTTTACTTAAAATACTCTCACGGATTTTCGGAGGTAAATGTTAACGAAACGGTTTTCCTAATAACGTTTGCAAAAACCAACAAATTATTTTTATCTATAATGCACACATAGAAATTCCTATCTGACACACGATTATACGAAAAATGCACATGGACATTTATAATTTATTATCTGAAAACCGCATATTAAGTTATTAGCTAACAGTAACACGTACAGTGTGTTCAAATAAGAATTTCTGGAAAGAAAATTGTAATTAGCAGTTTTTGAAAAAAATGACATTGAAGGCATCCATGGGTTATTACCTATTTACAGTTTATTAAAGAAACTGTTAATAGAAAAAAGGCCAAATGTTTTTTCTCTTTTGAAGAACTGCTAACATAATAGAAAATTGTGGCAATGAAAATACACATCAAAAGCCTAATTATCGTGAGAGAACGATGTAAATATTATTGTGCACGTTTAGTGATTAACGTATTATTTTTTTTCACTTTTCTTTAAACGTCTTTCATGTTTCTTGTATCGGTTTTTGGCAGGACACGAGGGACAAAAACGTATTTTTAAACTCATGTGCGATTCCATTGACACCGATTACTTATGTATTTTTAATAACATTACCATTGACTCCAAATGCATAATTAATTATTATTACTGACCAAATTCTTGCATCAGTGGCGTAAAAAGACGACTTACCGTAGGATTCCCCTTCGTGTCCATGGCCAGCTACTTGATTCGCATATAACTGAATATCGGGTGGTATTTCTATCGTTTGTTCTTCGTCCTTTTCTAACGGTGATGAAGAGCCATTCTTTTTAGATCCGGACCTGGCAAATCCGTCCAGTTTCGGCATAGCTAACTGATTGGAAAACAACCTCAACTGAATAGATTCAGGATCGTTTTTAACCATTTTAAATCAGAAAATGGATTGGTTTTTGAGCCCCTGTCAAAAGAAAACGAAAACCTAATCTAAACACTTTAAGCTGAAAGATTTGAAAACGTTTTTAATAGATATCTGTCTATTCCTGGTACAGTTATTATAATTTAATACTGGATTTGTGAAATTTATCGGAAATGACATCGCAATATAAGTTTTATTACGTTTTATGTATGAAATTATTCGCCTAAGTAGGTAAAGAAACCCTTATTAATAGTCAATACAATAAATGTTTACTCCAATTAAAAACAACACTGGCAATTCAACTGTTTGGTATCTTTGGTATTTTACGTGGCAACTTACAATAAACAAAAATGAATCAATAATAATATGGAAGACAATTGCGACGCGAAAAAGGAAAACAACAAACGTTTCCAATAGTTTTTAATTGTTATTGATCAGAATATACGAACCCTTATAAACTCTTTCCGAATTTACGTTCAGATTGACGTCATCAGAAACTAATTTAACGAAAAATGTTTCTAGAAGCCATAAAAATTTCAATGCGCCGAGTATTTGAATAAAACATCAACTTTTGCGGACAAACCCTTGACATTTACCTTGCTAATGTCAATGATATCGAAAATTTATCGTTCTCGCGAGATAATCGCAATAAGTGCGTAACTTATTAATACGGAAATTATGACGTTTACTGCACCCATTATGACAATTAAACAATAAAATTATTAATAAATATATCACTAAATTACGTATAGTACCTACTAATAACGTATTTAATTCATTTTGAGAGTTGTATCAAAAAATATATTAAAATTAGTTAACAGTGAAGTAAAAAAACATCAGGACGGAACGTAAAAAAAATTAGCATTATTATGAGTCAATAAATAATATAATAATGTAAAAAACAGAAGTTAAAAATCATTAGAAAAGTTCCAGTGAAGGACAAACCTCAGTGTTACTGTATGAATTACCAAAAACAAGTGAAAACAAAAACCGACGTTGCATTGACTATTATTTATTTATACAGTAACAACTGTAATTTTGAAAACGTTAATCTTTCTTACGTTATTTGGCAGCACTGAAGAGTGCGCAAAAAAAAAGATGAAGAATCTTACAGGTTGTAAACTTAACTCAACACACATAAATATGAACGGCTATTTCAGGTCCTGGGGTGCTTTGAACTTAGATCACTCCTCAATAAAAAAAAAAAAATGAAAATTCCTTTTGGTTGGGTACATACGCTGTTACTCTTCATTTTACTGTTGTTGTCAAAACCAGCCAACGTCAATGATCTCTCGTATAATGCATACATGTACACGATCAATTTGTTTTGATTTATAAAGGCGAATATTTTCGATTCTGATGGCAATGACTTCTATCGGACGTGTGCGGTTAAAATCAACGAAAATTAACTTACGCAAAATGTGCATGCATACACGAAAATTAAACTGAAGCCCCCCCTGTGCAAAACGCACGTTTAAAAACAGTTGACAAACGCTTTTTTTTTTATATAAAAAAGAATAAGTTTGAAACGATACCGGATAATTTCTTTACGTAAGCAACTATAAATATATGAATAAGTACCTAAGTACGTTTTTGCTATTAATTAGGTATTTACTTTTGAAGGAAGTATGTACTTGCGTTATTTATAGAATACATGATAGATATACAGAAAATAGATTGCTGTATACTTGATAATAAGTTCCCATAGTTACCTTAAGCTAAGTGTTTTATTACTATTTCAGATCAAATTACCAACAAAAGATAATTAAAAATACACATGCACATTTGCGACCGTAATCGTTTTTAATTAAATAAAGGCATTGTGTTGTAAAAATTCCCGGTTATGGAGTAATATATTAATAGGCATATTGTTCACTGGATACCATTTTCCTAGTTTGAACCAGTTTGAAATAGAATAAAAAAGTTTTAGCAGCCCGACATAAAAGTGTAATGTCAATTAAAAAAACAATTTAATAACAGTTATGACTATTATATTGAATTAAAATATTAAAACGATTCGATTATCTTTGTTCAAATCTCGTAAACCAGTTTGTAAATCATTTTGTAATTTATGGATAAAATCTATGAAGTATTTAAATACCTACTTAATCGCGTAAAATAACATGAAACTTTGATTAATATTCAGATTATCATTTTATTCATATATTGAATTAAATAAAATAAACTTCTCATAATTTAAAATTGTGATGTCAACATTGAGGAATTTTGAAATTTAATCTAATTTTGGTCCATGACATACTCATGATTTAATTAAATCTCCTAAGTCTTTCAAATAAAATATTCCTCTTTTTAATTAAATTGTATCGTAAGATAGCATATTTCTTAATATAATAATATTTTTAAATTACAAAATTAAACCTGGGTAGGTACATTTAAATTCAAAAGCAAAATATAGGTTATGTAACTGTTAATAACATAATAAATAGTACCTGACTTGTTTATATGTCGCCAAATCAATATTTAATAGATAAAATATTGATTTTTCTTCGAACACGAACCGTTCTCACAAGTACATGTCACTTTCACGTTTTCTGCGTCAATAATGAGCCGCTAAAAAGATAAAAACCTAGTGCCACTTTAAACAATGTACATGTAACAAATGCGGCTAACTTCGAGGCGCATGCGTCTCGTATTTCGAGTAACTTAATATACGAGGGTATTTAAAAATATATTCGACCAAATGAAAAAGAACCTTGACGGATCCGTAAACAAACGATGCAATAAATTTTATGAGTACAAAAGAACAATAATACAAAAAGCTATTTCGGAACGTATAAATAAATTGTTTAGGATACTTAAGTAGAACCATTCTAATAAAAAATAAGTGTCAGCAACAAAAAAAAATGGTACTGAAAGAGTTGAGCATGTATTTGTGGGTAGGTGTATAAGATTCAAAAAATAAGAAATTATTTATTATATTTATAAAACCCTTCTCCTGATTTAACCCCCAATTTCCCTTCATCGACCATCTTTTTTACGGTTGCTATGGGTTTAAACAGAGGATCGTTGGGAAACTTTTTATGGAAAATTTGCTGTATGTACAATCCAGTATCATGACCTGTAAAATCGGACAATTCGAAAGGACCCATAGGGTAACCAGCCCCTAATTTCATGGCAGTGTCGATATCTTGGAAAGAGGCATCGCCTAACAAAGAAACAAATGACTACCCATTTGCAAATAAATGAAGACCCTCCACCAAGAAACTAACCTCTTTCATACATCCGTACCGCCTCGGACATGTAAGGAACCAACAACCTGTTAACAATAAAACCCAAAGTGTCCTTACAAATAACAGTGACTTTACCAATCGATTTTCCCCATTCCTCAAACGCCTTGACCGTTTCGGGCGACGTTTCGTCGGTTTTAATCACCTCGAGCAGTTTCATAACCGGTACAGGATTAAAAAAATGCAAACCACCGAACTTGTCCTTTCTCTTCACATCTTGGGCGATGTCCTTAATCGACAAAGAGCTCGTGTTCGAGGCAAAGAGTGTGTGGGAAGGCGCAGCAACGTCCAAATCTTTAAAAAGTTTACGTTTCACATCCAGGTTTTCCACGATGGCCTCGATAACGAGATCGGATCTTTTTACGGCCTCCACAGGATCCGTTGACGTGCTCAAACGTGATCTGGCACGATTTACATAAGCCTCGACATCGGATGAGTTGGTCTTATGTAATTTTTTCGCCACCCTCATTAAACTGGAGGTAATTCGTTCCTCTGACTTTTTCAGAACGTCTGAATTTACGTCAACCAATGTCACATTTTGACCCGCTTGTGCCGCAACCTGTTTAACGAAATTATTATTCGTTTATATCTTACACGCTCGTACGTGCCGCCACTGGTGTAAACAAAAAAATAAAAAGAACAACAATTTTAATGTACACTATTATACCTGTGCTATTCCAGCACCCATTAAACCTCCCCCAATCACCGTAACGTTAGACGTAACGTTAAGCTTTTGAGATGTTGATAGAAGTCGCTTTATTACCATAGTATTCGCCATTTTGTTCCGTTCAATCCAGCACACTGACAGTGACTGGCAAATATACCATTTTTCCCATTATAATAAATTATACGATATACGTATGTATGTATGTATACTATGTACAAGTTGTTTACAACATCTCTTATTTGTGAGGACTGATTAGATAAAGTACGCCTTCAATCGAATACATTTTTAAACTAATAGTTATTTTAATCTGTCTTATTTCTAATGCCTACTTCTTAAAAAAAACAAAACAAGAGAAAGTCTTCTTCTTTTAATGAAATATAAAAGTTTATATACGGTACAATACTGTGAATGTCAGTTGGTTTTTATTTTTTATCGTATTTGTAATAACCCTCTCCGGATTTGACACCGAATTTCTTTTCGGCTACCAACTTTTTCAAAGATTCCGGAGGTACGAAAAGAGGATTGTCCGGAAACTTTTTATGCCACCCCTCTATAATAAACAAAGTCGTATCGAGTCCTACGTAATCGACCAGCTCTATCGGTCCCATTGGATAACCCGCCCCTAACTTCATTGCGATATCGATATCTTTGGCACTGGCATCGCCTAAAAAAACGACGCGCTCCTTAGAAATAATTCTAAGAAATAAAATTACCTAATTTCACCTCTTTCGTACATCCTCAAGGCTTCGGCCATATAAGGGACTAATAATCTGTTAACAACGAATCCTGGTGTATCCTTACAAGTGACGCAAACTTTCCCGACAGATTTACCCCATTCCATAAACGACTTGTAAGACTCCTCAGATAGTTCAGGGGTTGTAACAACCTCTAAAAGTTTCATTACCGGAACTGGATTGAAAAAATGCAACCCTCCGAATTTATCCTTTCTATTGGTCACTGAGGCAATGTCCCTGATACTTAAGGAGCTCGTGTTTGAAGCTAGAAGGGCGCTGGGAGGGGCGAGGGTGTCTATTTGCTTAAATAATTTGTGCTTCACATCAATGTTTTCCACAATAGCTTCGATAACAAGATCGGCATTTTTTACCCCCTCCCCGACGTCTGTTACGCCTCTGACTTTCGATTTGGTTCCTTGTACAAACTTTTCGGCTTCCTGGGGGTTATCTTTGTATAACTTTTTTCCCACTCTTACCAAACTGTCTGAAATTCTTTTTTCGGCTGTTTTAATTGCACCGTCGTTCACTTCGACGATTGTTACATTTTGACCTGATTGGGCAGTTACCTAGGTCAAAATTACATGTTACGCCACTGGTACAAAAGGTAGTAATTATAATTACATGCAACAGCTGATTCGACGGGTCATGAATGAAATTAATGTTAAATTTCTAATAAAATAATAAATACCTGCGCAATTCCTGATCCCATCAGTCCACCTCCTATTATTGTTACATTTTTTATAACATTTAAAGCATTCGACGTTGACAAACACCTTTTCATTATCAATGTTGTTGAAGCCATTTTTTGTAATTATTTTAAATGAAGTATTATTTACTATTAAACGTATGAATTTAAAACAAGTTTAAAATGTAATCTAACCACAGAAACAGTTTATAAAGTCAAAAACAATCTTAAAATACTTCACAAGTTCAGAGTCTAGGGTCTAAAGTTCAAACATCTGAATTACCTAGTGGTTTGTATGTTGTCAACCAAGTATAATGCTGTACTTTACAATTTACAATCAGCTCTTGAATTTCTAATTGCCCCACCTTTTCATTTCAATATTTTTATATTGTAATTAATATTTTAAAAACAATAACCACTGTAAAAATTTACAATAATAAACAGTTTATTGTTACGCCAACATATAATTTTCACATTTGTTTTATTAATTATTTTTGTAATTTTGTTAAATCCTTTATATTTTTATTTAATTTTTTAAATAGTTCTTATTATTATGCTCTTTTGAGAATAGAAATTTTAACGTATTCCGCAACTTTTTCGGTTACACCCTGTATATCAAACTGGTGTGACATTAGCTACAATCACCAATTATTATTATCTATGCGAATTAGTAGTCAAAAATTCATTTAGGTGTTTGTGCTTTTGAAAATGAACAAAAGTAGATCAGGATGGTGAATGTTATGAAAGGAGTTTTGGTTAAATGGTAATTCAAACTTTTATACATTTTTAACACTTTATTGACGGATAAAGTAATTTCGAAGTGCGCTTAACCTAACTTTTTAATTAATATAATCGAAATCACTTGGTATTTTGAATTGCTTGTTCATCACCCCTTCTTCGATGTTAAATTTGTTTTTGCACCACGTTTTTACTGAAAATACGTTATCAGTCCAACGGTTCGCAGCGTCTTTCAATTTCTACAAGAAAAAATGCATTCTACATGTATACCTAACGCCCTAACAAAATGTAAGTAGTTTTACTTGTGTTTCGTCCCTTTTTCTTTCTAAAACCTTTGGATCATTGTCTTGGTACATTTTTAATTGTTTTGTGAGTTGATCATATTCGATTTGTAAATCAGTCACCTTTTCTAAAAGTTTATTTCTTTCAGCAGAGTCTTCTCTGTCATTCTAAAACGTAAATATTCAAAGATACGTCATGTTTCTGCTTGTATGTATATTAGAAATTACTCTCAGATTCTGTAATGTTTCCTCTGAACTTTTGAGTTTCTTTGAATAACTGTCAAGAGTTGCCTTCAGTTGTTGTAACTTTTCGTTTTTTGCAATTTTTGCTTTACTGCAAATACAGAAGAGGGTTTTTAACTGATTTTGAAACTATTTGCTGAACAATTTTACCTTGGAAATGCCCAGTAATATATAGAGGAACCTATTTTATCAGTGTCAACAAGACCATCATCAACAAGATTCTGCACAATGTCTTTTACAGAATTGGCAATTATTCCCTTCTCTTTGGGGGCTATTTTTTCTAGGTCCTGTAAGTTTGTATTAAATCAAAGGTCTCAAAAGAAATAAATTGTTATTATGCTTACTTTCAACTGAAAGAACTCCTTTTTTTCATAGAAAAGTTGGAGCATTCGGGTTCTCTTTTCTTCAGCAGAAACACCCTTACGTTTTGACATTTTTATCTGCAATTATTTAATCCTAAAGTGTTAAACATAAATTAGACATATCTGTCTTGTTCTTTTACAGTGATTCGGCGATGAAACAGTTCTTATTACATTTGGATGAGACTATGAAACTAGGGAAAAAATTTATAATTCAAGATCTAGACGAAACACATTTATTCATATCTGCTGATATTTTAGATGTTCTTCAGGCAAAAATAGACGATTTAATGGATCAGATAAGCTTCCCAGTCACCGAGAAGGGCAACTAAATGTTAGTACATTTAAAGACTTTAAAATAAGAACATTTTCGTGAAATAATTAAAGTGAAAGACTGTTTCTAATAAGTTAATAATCATGACTATCTCAAAATTAACTTTGAGGGGCTCAGCCCGCCTCAAAGAGGTTGATAAATGCAAAATCGTGGATGAAACTTCGCGCAGAAGAAGACACCGAAAAAACATGGAAATTCTAGAAGCTGACAACTACCATGAAGATCCTCATGCTGATCTTGTTATGAGCAAAAAGATTCCGAAATTCGACGAGAACTTAGAAACAAGGACAAGAAGCAGGAAGAAAGAAAAAAATCCAGAATATTATCAAGCAAAGTTTAGGAAACATATTTTACAATTATTAGAAGAAGACAGAATGGAAGCAGAGATAACTGGACGCTATTCATATCAAGATTTAGTAGCTGAAGATACCGACCACCCAGCAAGACATTTCTGTGCTGTTTGTGGATTTTTTAGTCAATATGTTTGTTTGGCATGTGGTATGAGATATTGTAGCATAAAATGTATGGATACTCATATGGATACAAGGTGTCTCAAATGGACTGCTTGAATTAGTTTATAATATAAACATTCTATACAATATGAATAAATATTCGAAACAATTTTTGAACTTTTCAAAAACTATCATTTCTTATTAGAAAAACACCTATTCTTAACGTGTATATATATAAAAAAGTTGATCAGATTGTAATTCTAAATATAATTGTTTCTAAAGTACATGGAACTCTTAACTTGATAAACGTAGGTATTCAATTGATGTGAAGTAAATTTAAGTTAGATTTGTGACTGTTACTTTTAAGCAAATAAATAAAGTAAATCTTAACAATTTTTTCAAATTTATAGGTTATATACTAACAGGTGGTTTCAAATAAATCCGGGCATTTTCCATAATGAATATGTTATTAAGAATTTACCTTAGATTTGTAGATAATTCGAACAGCTTTTTTAACTTTCAATTGCGCTTTTTCATAGCGTAACACAATAAAATTCTTAGAATAACTAGCCCGAAATTGTTTAAAATAGTTTAAAATGTGTTTCATAGATATGTTTTCTAATTTTAAACATAAAAACAGTTGCGTTCAACTACTATTTCCTCCTGTCTGAACTTTTTAAATGATCTGCATAGAATATTATTTTCGACTTGGGAGTAAGTCACAAACTGTAAATTATAGCATTAAAATTTATTTTACGCAATTCTAAAGTGTAATTTTATACTACATGTCCATAAATATTTGCAAGAATGAAACTAAAATTTAATAAAAGTATTTCAACGGCTTTGAATACATCTTAAATTTTTCGGTACGTCTACCATTTATTCATTCTTGCAAATATCTATGATAAACGTCAAACTTAACGAACATAACCTGTAATCACATGTGATTTTGGTATTTTGCAAATAAAATCTACTTTAAAAGAAGTATGATATAGTTTTAACGAATAAATAAATATGCGCATCGAAACGTGTTATTTTTGTTCATCAAGAATATATCCCGGCCACGGTATTCAGTTTGTTAGGAACGACTGCAAAGTATGAAATAGATATAGGCCTCCCATGGATTTTTACAATATAAAGCTGTTTTGTTTTTGTTGTAGATATTTAAGTTTTGTCGGTCGAAATGTCACGCAGCCTTTAAGAAAAAGAAAAATCCTCGTAAAGTAAAATGGACAAAAGCCTATCGAAAAACAGTTGGCAAAGAATTGGCGATTGACCCTTCATTTGAATTTGAAAAACGTAGAAATATACCCATTAAATATAATAGAGAAAAATGGACAAAAGCAGTTGAGGCTATGAAGAAAGTAGAAAAAATTAGACAAAAGAGACAGAACAATTACATAATGCAAAGACTTCGTAAGGGCAGAGAAATTGAAACTGAGAGGGATATTAAAGAAGTTCAGAGAGATCTTTCTCTCATACGAGCTCCTGCTGCTGGAATGAAGGAACGTAAAGCTGCTGAACTGGCCATGGAGGAAGCAAGGGAAAGTGATCATGATGAAGAAATGGCAGAAATTGAAGATGGAGGAGAAGTAATGTTATAATTATAATTTTTACGGATTAATGTTAATTTCACAAAATTAATTTAATGTAGATAGTAATTTACGTTAAATACAACAATATTATTGTAATAAAAGCAGAAATAAATAATAATTATAAATGCAATGTTGATTATTTAATATTTTTGTAATTCCATCAGTAATAAGTTTCCAAAAAACACTTCCATTGATGTATTTGTACATTCAATGATACAAAAACAGTATTTTTAATGTCAATATTAATTTTAGCTGAATAATTATAAATTCTCATTTAAAATCAATTCACTAATTGATTTTATTACAAAAATAATGTAGTTTTTTTACATCATTCTAAAATATAATAACGAAGTATTTTTTGAACACTTTCTTACGATATAATTATAAAACGCATTTTAGAAAATATGATTTCAGTAAACAAAGTGCATATTTAAAAAAGAAAAATTTGTTTTTTAGTCCCTACGTACATACTTCCCGCAATACACTCGTGTAACGAGTAAAGCATAACCGCATTCACCTATTGTTAGTTCACTTTTCTACCGCCCGTGCTTGATACCGGTTTATTTCTATGAACGTTCGAAATTAACGTTTAAATAACCCGTTATTACGTATTCGAATTGAGAACTATTAATTTTTACTTTTAATTGCAAAATGAATCAGTGAGATCAGTATAATTAATAGCATTTAGTTGAAAAGCAATATTTTCTGAGTTATTAGAGTTCATATGTTCCATTTTTCAAAATTAACAAAATCACGATCACGTTATTTCTAACATTTTCTGACGTGATTAAATAATAAAAATAACGTGCAAATTATGAGATGCGCCGGTGGCGCCACTTTAATAAAACCTTCTCCCCTTGCCCCTAAGAAATACTTATAAAAACTGTAAAACTAAATTATTTGGCGGCATAAAAGAGTCAGTCGTAATATTTTAAACAGTTTTACACAAATTAAAAACATGGGAGATAAAGGCGATGCCGGTAAGTAAAATGGAAATAAATATTTTATAACTGACGAACGTTTTCAACATAAATACGAAAGATTAGATTCGTTTTTTTGAGGTTAAATTCCTCTGTAATCAGATTTCGAAAAAATTTATTTCAGAAACCTTCGATGATGCTGTTGAAGAGCGTGTTATTAACGAGGAGTATAAAATATGGAAGAAAAACACCCCATTTCTTTACGACTTGGTTATGACTCATGCACTTGAGTGGCCCTCTTTAACAGCCCAATGGTTACCCGATGTCACAAGACCTGATGGAAAAGAGTACTCAATTCACCGTCTTATTCTTGGCACACACACCTCTGATGAACAGAACCATCTATTAATTGCCAGTGTTCAATTACCAAATGAAGATGCTCAATTTGATGCGTCACATTATGATAATGAAAAAGGAGAATTTGGTGGCTTTGGGTCTGTTTCAGGCAAAATAGAAATCGAGATTAAAATAAATCATGAAGGTGAAGTGAACAGGGCACGTTACATGCCTCAAAATCCTTGTGTGATTGCTACAAAAACTCCTTCCAGTGATGTTCTAGGTAAATTTTTTAAAAAGACGATTGCCGAATCGAAAAAGACAAAATTGATTACTTGACATATCATTTTCACCAATCTTATAATCCTGTCTTATTTTCCTTTGTTAGTTTTTGACTACACCAAACACCCCAGCAAACCAGATCCCAGTGGTGAATGTCACCCTGATTTAAGACTAAGAGGGCACCAAAAGGAAGGTTATGGATTATCATGGAACCCAAATTTGAATGGTTATTTATTGTCAGCCAGCGATGATCATACTATCTGTCTTTGGGATATTAATGCTACACCAAAAGAAAACAGAATTATAGATGCAAAAACTATCTTCACAGGTCATACTGCAGTTGTAGAAGATGTGGCTTGGCACCTACTACATGAAAGTTTATTTGGTTCTGTTGCTGATGATCAGAAATTGATGATTTGGGATACTCGTTGTAACAACACCAGCAAACCCAGTCACACAGTTGATGCACACACAGCTGAAGTCAACTGTTTAAGCTTTAATCCGTACTCTGAATTTATTCTTGCAACAGGTTAATATTTCCAATTTATTTTGAATTTTTTAAGTGATTTTCAACAAGGGAGGAAATGTTCTCAAACTTTATTTTACATTTATCTTTTCTAGGGAGTGCTGATAAGACTGTAGCTTTGTGGGATTTGAGGAATCTGAAGTTAAAATTACACAGTTTTGAGTCCCACAAAGACGAAATTTTCCAAGTTCAGTGGTCACCTCATAATGAAACCATCTTGGCCTCTTCTGGCACAGACCGTAGACTGCATGTTTGGGATCTCAGTAAAATTGGAGAAGAACAGAGCCCAGAAGATGCAGAAGATGGTCCACCTGAATTACTCTTTATACATGGTGGTCATACTGCTAAGATATCAGGTAATGAATTATTATTTGTTGATCTTCTATGATATATTTTGGTTTTTGTTGACATTTTTGTCAATCAAATGTCAATGTAAGTATCAGTAATAATGTAGCAGTGCAGGAGTCTTGACTTGTGGTTTTTCTCATATAAATTTCAGTGTATTCTTGCACAAATGTTCTGAAAGCTTCATGCAACAAGAACCCTTGTTTTATACAAAATTTCCAACCTACAAGGAGATCGTTTGTTACGTGAAACTTATAAAACTGTTATATCCAAAAAATGTCGCAGTCTTTCAAATAGGCAAGAGTTGTCAGGGCCGAAAGATCCTTATGGTTCGTCTCAGTGAAAACGTGGACTGTTTAAAAAATCATGCAGTTCTTATAGATGCTGGAATTCATGCCAGAGAGTGGTTGACCCACACCACATGCCTTTACATTCTTAATAATATCCTTGAAGATCCCTCGGTTTTGTCTCTTATGGATTTTTACTTTATTCCCTGTCTTAATCCAGACGGTTACGTGGAAACGCACAAATGTAATCGTCTTTGGCGCAAAAACCTGAATCGAAATAACAGCAAGAAAAAGGCAAGGATGGGCGTTGATTTGAACCGAAACTTCCCCGTGGCATTCGGAACCACGGGTTGTAGCAATGATCCCAAAAGTCTTATGTATCATGGCAAGTATCCACTTAGTGAACCAGAGTCCAAGTCATTGGCGGAGGTCATGAGGAAGTTTGAGAAGTGTTTGAAACTCTATATATCTTTACACGCTTATGGAAATGTTATCTTGTATCCGTGGGGGTTTAAAAAGGCTGCAATCAAACATTCAAGAGAGCTCCAATGCTGTGCCGCAGCTGCTTGTGAAGCTGTCCTTCGTAAGTGTGGAGAGTGCAGGTTTACATATGGTTCAATTGCCCGGAAAATGTATGTAAGCTCGGGGAATACTGCAGATTTCTCATATGGTATGCACAATATCACCTTTTCTTACATCATCGAGCTTCAAAAGGGCAGCAGACATCAGGGGTTTGGTATCAGGAAGCAGATGATAAAACGAGTTGGCGAAGAAGTCTTAGCCGCTGTAATCGGAATGGTCGAATACGTGTTTAACTTTTACAACGAGAAAAGACAAAAAAGAATAAAATGTGCAAGAAAGTGCACGTCAAGGAAATCAGGCAAGCTAAAAAGAAGATCTAAACGAACTAAATGCTCGTCATCAGAGGAAGATTGTGAAGACTGCAAAGATGAGCATTTAAATAGGAAGAGAAAAATTAGATTTTCCGAGAGTGATGAGTCTATTATTCCTCCTAAAATGGCAAAGAAAGACTGTGACAACAAAGATAATTTCATGCACTGCTGTTGAGAATGCATTTAGTGTCTTTTTTTATAGTGCAGGTATAAATTAAATTAGTCTTGTATGGGTGTGCGTGTGATATGGGGACATGTATTTAAAAAATAATAGATATTTTTTAAAACGTTTTGAAGCGTTGTAGTTAATTTGTGTGTTTAGTTGTTATAATGCTACACAGAAACTGCATAAGCACTTTTAACGTTTTTGTTTCATAGACTTCAGTTGGAACCCCAATGAGCCCTGGGTTATTTGTTCTGTGTCTGAGGATAACATAATGCAAGTTTGGCAAATGGCAGAGAATATCTATAACGACGAGGAGCCTGAACAGCAAGCTTCAGACATTGAGGCAACCACAAATTAATTAATTAATTAATTTTGTATTACTACCATTGTCATTATTATTTTATCATAATTGTATTTGTTGGTCGAATAAGTTGGTTCGTAATTTGTCTACGCGTTCCTTTATAAACTTTTTTTGTATTAATGTTCCGTTTTATTTTATTTTGTAAATGTACTTTTAAAAAGAGAAACGTGCCGTTTAGCTGTCTTTGAACGATATTGTATGTATGTATTTTTTGTCTCTTATTTTTAATTGAGGCGCAATCTTATTAGTATAATGCTGTACTTTACAATTTACAATCAGCTCTTGAATTTCTAATTGCCCCACCTTTTCATTTCAATATTTTTATATTGTAATTAATATTTTAAAAACAATAACCACTGTAAAAATTTACAATAATAAACAGTTTATTGTTACGCCANTAAAAAAGTAAAATTAAGTTTCGAAAACATTCTTTTTTTAAAAAATTACATGACTCGTATTATATGATACATATGAAATGGAAATAGAGAACAAATTAACGAACAGAAAGTTAGGCTTTTCAAAAATTAAAATTTACTTCTTTTTTAAAACTTGCAGAGCCCGTTTTTAAATTCCTTAATTTTTGTACGTTTTAAGGATTGTAGATAGTCGTTTCAAAAAATACAATATAAAATAAAATTGATGTTTTTCATGTCTAACTTATTATATTTTTTAAAAGAATGAAAAAATTCAGGACACCATTAAATAATACTTTTTTCTATATTAATGTTAAATAAATTGGAAATTAGAATTATTATCTTTATAATTATAAATGTAATTTCTAGTTAACGATAACTTGCAACAAAAATAAAAAGTCATATTTACACCCTATTTACCAAGTATGACTTTCAAAAACAAAAATAAAAAGGAAAGAAATGTTTCAAAAATATTAAAAATTCATTATAATTTCAAAAAACCGTTAGATAGCTAGGTAATTCCTTATTTGGTATTATGTACTGGTACGAAATATGGGTATATATAGTAAAGGTGTTAAGATCAACAAAACATACCTTACAAAATTACTTTATTATTATTAAAAAATGAACGGGACCATTTCTATATACAGAAAAAAAAAATACTATTAAAGCAAGACATATTGACTACTTGCCTTCAGAAGATCCTCCTCATGGCTACGCCACTGTGGACTCTGGTGCTGTTGTTGCGTTTACATTGTTAATACTTGATGCTCTGCTCGATCTCCCCTCGTCCTCTTTGAATACGGCGTAGCCGTGCTCCACCAGGTTCTGCGCCACGTTCAAGTCCTGATTGTTGACGACATCGTACAAGTCGAGTCCGGGGACAGGAGACACCTCGCGTTTAGCTCTCGTTTTCTGTCGGTTATGATAACCATTTATTCGTGCCGAAAGCTTTTTCCATTGTGCAACATGCGTACACTCTTCAAAATAGTCGATTGCTTCGTCGGACCAACACTCCCCCGCGGGTTCTTCAAGAAAGAAACATTAAGTATTTTCTATTACTTTTCGGGTGCCCATTGGAAGACTTACCGACTCGCGCCAAATAGCATTCGATGGCTTGAAAATGTAATCTCAAGAAGTCAGTACGTAGTTCGTAAATCGACTTTGAGGGGCACACGTCTGTATCGCCATAGTCTAGGAAATACAACTCAGCATGAGGCTCTTTACCGTTCTCTGCGTGAACGGCAAGAACTTCTGCCCTATACCTACAACCAATAAAAATAAAAATAATTGTATAAAAGCTAAAGTCCTAAATTACCATTTGCTGTCATAAGGAAACAGTGCGGCCACCAGATCTCCAGGTTCGACCTTTTGAAGTATGTGAAATTCAACGTTATTTGGATTGTTGTAGTATTCCGTCATTTCTTCGACTAGTTGATCGAGTTCTGTAGCTTTGGGACCCACTATTTGGACCCAGAAGTGGGACGGATCTATCATTGCAGACACATAAACTTCAAAAGGAGATTCTGACTGTCCTGAAATTATAAAGTTATTTTAGTATTTTTAGCATAAAATATGAAATATTAATATTAATTATGTACCAGGTGATGGAGAAATTTTTTCGAAACCTAGGGCTTCAGAGGGATTGGGACTGGGAGCCTTTGGGGGGAGTCTTGGTTCCCTTCGTGATAGAGACTCATCTAGCTGCGACTGACGTGATTGGCACTTCTCTACTATCTCGTTTATTAAAGATTTGGCTACATCTATTTGACTTTTTGAACCTGCAATAATTTTACCATGTACAAACTGTCAATTAACTTATTAATCATAAGGAATACAAGTAAATATAATACATAAGGACAATGTATATTATTGACAAACAGTAGTTTAAAATTTAGCTGTCAGATAAATAAAATATTACCTTTGATAATGATTCTACGAGTGGATTCATATCTGTCTCCATCAGATACGTTAACTTTTGCTCCAGATCTAGCAATGATATCTGTTATCTGCTCTCCACATCTACCAATTATTTTACCAATATACTGCTGTTCTATCCACATTTCATCACATTCAATAATAGTTTGATTTGATAGGAACTCTTGAATAATATTTTCAGCTCTGTAGCAATCATCTGCTTTGCCTTTGACAATGCAAATTTGCTCTTTATGTTCATCACTATCTTTGAAATGAATTCTTGTGTTGGTCTCTGCTTCAACTGATTTGATGTTTTTCCCATTTCTTCCTATTAGGACGTTTACCATAGGTTTTGGAATTTTTACTTCTAGTGTCTTATAATTTGCTCTTATGGGCAAAGAGCCGTCGATATCATCATCATCGTCATCTCTTTTGTATAATAGATACACCACATAGCTAGCACATATTGACAATCCTAATATTGTAGCTGCTATTCTGGGATTAACAAACCTATTGAAAAAATGAAAAAATGAGATAAAATAAACATTAAATTAATTATTATGTCAGGAAAGTCTATCATTTCTAAAAATAGTACATTATAACCTTTAATATTTCTTAATGTTAAAACTAAAAAAAACTATTATTTAAAACCAGCTAAACAAGAAAACCAACACTTATTACACGCATAAATCATAAATTCTACAATAAACAATAGCGATTTATAAAAAACAATCAATAAATATGCAATAATAAAATTTTAAACTTACTGCATATCGGGTAAATATAATGAGCAAAATTAAAGGCACCATGAAACGTTACGCTCGAAAACCGCACTGATTGTTCAATAGGTTTATTTCATCGTACCAATTATATTTTTACACATTATTATTTGATTTTTACGGCAAATTCAACTTTGAATGATTAGGTTAACCAATAAAGGATAAATTTTGCTGCAAACTACAATCTAATCCATAGATAAGGTGCAATCACCATAGACGAGAAGCGATTTGAAATCGAACTGTATCAATCACTCACGAGATAGCGACACCAGTAAAAATGGAAACTAGCTGCAATTTGTGTTGCCTATATAAATAAAATATTTTTAAATTTTTGGGCGCGCCTTTTTATCATTATACCATTTAAAATTTAAAAAACAATAGCAAAATACAAGGTATACTAATTTATAAAAAATTAAATGGAACATTATGTCATTTATTATCGATTTAATTAATATGTACCTATGGAAACCGTATACAAAACAATTTTATTTAGACAGACATTTTTGCCATGTCTGTTAAGCGTTAAAAAATAGTATTATTTTACTGGAAAAGGACAGTTTAAAAAAGAATTAGACTATTATTTAGTGAGAATGAGCGATAAAGAGTCTCCTCCACCATATTACAGGCGCGAAGAAACCAAGCTGCCTTATTTAGACAAATGGGGTAGAGAAATGCTAGCCCCCTTAAGGATGTACGATCAGTTTGGTCGCGAAAGGATCCCTGAACGACCTCCATTTTTACCAGACGCAGGACCAGAAGTGTTCCCGGAGCCATCCACTTACGTTAAAAGGGTGCGCGAAATTCACGAATACGAGCCCCTATTCGCAACTAAGTCTTGGACTAAAGCCATTCCAAAAAGACACACTTTTGAATATTATAGGCCTAGTGAAACTATTGGTAAGCCGTAAAAACAATTCGAAAAACTTTTTTGATGTTTTGTTGTCAATAAATTTTTTTACCTACTGTCTTTTTTTTTGTTTCGTATTAACAATTCGTTTAAAATTGCTTGGCAATAAGAACGAAAAAAATGTTGATATACAAAAGAGTATGTATATGTAACGTTTAAGGAGCAAATTACACACCTTCGGCGCAAAAATTCAGGATTCAAGATATGCCTCCGCGTAAAAAGAAGAAAAAGGAGGAATATGGACCTGTAGGGCCTGACGGTATTTTTATTAAAGACGCTATAATAAATCACAACCGTATTAAAAATTACATTTTAATCCAAGGTAAACTTCGGTTCCCTCCCCTGAAAAATAAAGCTCAAATTAAAGCCGAGAAAAAGTGGCTAAAGGAGCTTGAAAAACGCAAAAAAGGCGAAGTCAAAGGACTCGTAACGCTTCAGGAGTTATTAAGTGGGGAATACTGGAAAAAAAAGGAAGAAAAAAAGGAGAAGATAGAAAGGATAAAACAGAAGAAATTGATTAAAGAAATGGAGGAAGAAAGGAAAAAACTGCTAGAGGAAGAGATGTACATACATATCCAAACTTATTGTTATTTAAATTAATGAAGTATTTGGTATAATATTGCTGTTTTTTTCAGGAAGCTTGTCAAACTTCAGGCAGAGTTACCAACACATCCTGATGACCAAAAAAATCAACTTCTTACTCAAATAAATTCAGAATTAGCTAAGCCAATAAGGGAGGAAGACGTTATAAGAATCAACTATTATTTAACAAAGGTTTTTAAATATTTTTTTAATTCGCTTTTATTTAGAATCTCTTTCTTAGGGAATGGAACCTCAATACATATCCCCATATGACAAAACTTACTACAACGAAGCGAAAAATAGAATACCACAACGGTACCAACTACTCAAAGATTACGAATTCATCAAGAGGACGTATCTCCCTGATCTGATCAAATTTTACGACGATGAAATGCGTGTAAATCTGTTCAAGTACATCCTCAAAGATCCTACCGAATGGAGGAGACTCAGAATCGTGACTTTTCCTGTTCATTACCCGATTTTGGTAATAAGGGCACCGGTACCGTGGCATGCACATTACACCATAGCAAAAGAAAGGATACTCATGAGATGGAATGTAGGAAACATTGTCCTTAGAGAAATTACGAAATTGTGGAACTCACAGTAAGAACCACTACCCAGAAAATGTAATAATGAGTCTAATTTTTCAATGCCGTAAATTGCATAGGTACCAAAACTTGTTAATTTTGCCGTGGCACAGAATTGAGGAGGACGGTCCCTTGCCAATCACTCCCCGCGCTCTAGAAGACAAAGTACGAAATGTTTGCAGCGAAGTTAAGGAGATGTTGCTGCAGGATTGGCTGGGAAAATGTGCAGACATCGTTCTAAAATATAGGAGCGAGTGGAAGAACAAGATTCCGAAGAATCCTGGAGATACCGTGGACAACATTAACAGATTTTTTGACTGCATTAACTGCTTATTATCTTTACAATTGCGAAAATTATTAATGAAAAGTTTGAATCACTTTTTAGACTATATAATGAAGTACAAGGTGAGCACGAATTGTTAACAAATAACCAGGATTGAGATATTTCCAATTTTTAGGATGGTAACGATTTTGGAGATGTGTACGAAGACTTGACATTGATTAATATTCCTTTGGTAAAGGTGTCTGTAAAACCCGTTTTGGGAACTACAGAACTGCATCTAGATCCTCCTATCGACCAAATAAGGGAGCTCTTGCGTCTCATATTCCTTATGATATTGGATGTTAACAAAAAAATACCTCGACTTGAGAACATCATTTTCCCAGGCTAGTTACTATAAGAATATTTTAATAACAATTAGCTCTCTTAAATTTTTGAAAAAAAAAAAAATAACCGGCTTTTTATTGTTTTGAAGAATTCAAATTCAAAGAAGCGTACTTGTATTCGGTTGGAGAAGAAGAGGTTGCTTATATAATCAAGAAAGGTATGGAAAGCTTCGAGACCAACACAGTGGGTCCTGAGAAGTATCTGACCATGTACCAGGACTATTTTTACATTCTTATGGGAGAAGCCAAAGTCGAACTTCTTGCATTTTTCAACCAAGACCCGTTTCCCTACTTAAAGGTCTTCATAACACACATATACATTTTCACCGTTACAATCAATTAACAATTGTTTATTTGAAATTCGTTTAGGATTTCATGAAAAAAATTTACTATTACGACGATCTTAAGAAAGAACTCATCAAGTTACGTAGATCAATACCATTAAATATGTTGAGCCTTGAATGTGATATTTTAAATGACACCCTGTATAACGTCATAGACGGCCTGAGGCAGTACATTGTTGATTATTTCATTAACGAAAATCATAATCACAATAGAAGGTAATTAAAAGTAAAAAAAAATTTAGATACGACCGCTAAACGATTTAATTTTTTTTAATTAAAGAATATGCGACACTTTTGACGAAATGTCCCAGAAAGTCAGTCAAACACCGGAAACTGTACCGGAACTGGTCGAACTAATGAATTACGTCGCTGAGAGTCGCGATGTTACAATGTTCAATTTAAGAGAAAAAATACGGCTAACAGCCGAATATGTGCTTTTCCTAATGGAATGTGCTCTTTTAACCAGTAAGTCCCCTCAAAACAAAAACAGTCCGAACAATACTTTTACTCCGCCGGTCTTCATTTTCTTTACAGCCGATGATATAAATTTGAACTGCAGAGTTTTTGTTTGGCCAAAAGACATGGAGAATGTTATTCAATTGGCCCTTCAACGGCTCAATATGAAAAAAGATCAGGCAGAGATCGCGCTCAAGAACAAGATCATCCTGTTCGACGCCAAACTCCTCAAACACCAGAAACAACTGAACGTTTTCAAGAAGAAGGATCCTCCAGTGTTGACGCTCGAAGAGATGCAAGAATGCAATGAAATGGCTGACGTGATACTACAAAGATTACAAGTATTACACGACCAAAGTATATTCCATACCTTTTCACATTCATAAAACGATTTTAGGAAGATAAGCAAGAAGCAGAACTGCTTAACGAAGAAGAACAATATTTGGACATGGATTCTTCGCCATTTTTGAACTTGTACGAAATGCTTAACACCGTGGATCCTTATGTGAAATTGTGGCATACAGCATACGAATTTCACGTCAATTATGACGTCTGGTACTATGGACCATTTGCTGCCCTTGACGCTGACGCTGTGGTCGAGGAGGTAGAATCCATGTGGAGAACTTTATACAAATTGGCAAAAACTTTTTCGGACAATCCGGCAGCAAGAAGAATAGCCGAAACCGTCAAGGCGAAAGTAGAAAAGTTCAAACAATTCAGCATTGTGTTGCAGACAATTTGCAATCCAGGAATTCAGGAGAGACATTGGGAAAAGGTACAAATTACACGATCAAAAAAAAATAGTTCGTGGTTTAGAAAAGATATGCTTGTTTAGATCAGCGAAATTTTGGGGTCTCCTATCATAATCACACCCGAGACGACTTTAAGCGATATGATAGAAGCAGGACTGCCCAGGATTTCGGCCCAACTAGAAGAAATTTCTGGAGGTGCCACCAAAGAATACGCTCTCGAAACCAACTTGAAGAAGATGAAAGAGGAATGGGTCGACATCATGTTCGAATGCGTTTTATACAGGTACAATTCACATTGCAACTAACGAGATTCATATAACATTACATTTTATCTTAATCTTTAGGGACACTGGTGTTCATATATTGTCAGCAGTTGACGATATTCAAGTACTATTAGACGATCACATTCTGAAAGCGCAGACCATGAAAGGATCTCCTTACATTAAAGCTCTCGAAGAAGAGATGAATGCGTGGGAAGAAAAGCTACTCAAGATGCAAGACATCATCGAAGCGTGGCTAACAGTAATAAAGAAAAAGGACAACTTTTCGTTTCTGTGTGTGTTAATGCTATTGTTTTGCTTTATCAGTGTCAAGCTACGTGGATGTATTTGGAGCCAATCTTCAGTTCTGAGGATATTATGCGTCAAATGCCAACTGAAGCCAGGAACTTCAAGCAAGTCGATAAAGTGTGGAGGATAATAATGGCAAACACTATACTGGACACCCATGTTCTTGTCGCTACTGAATACAGGAACATGTTGGGAATGTTGAGGGACAATAACATGCTTTTAGACGAAGTCCAGAAAGGTCTAAATGATTATTTAGAGAAGAAGAGGCTGTACTTCCCAAGGTATTACCAAAGGGAGTCAAGTCCATTATATTTTTTTGCTTGTCTATTTTGTTTAGATTCTTCTTCTTATCGAACGACGAGCTTTTGGAAATTCTGTCCGAAACCAAGGATCCTCTGAGAGTGCAACCACATCTGAAGAAATGTTTCGAGGGAATTTTCCTTTTGGAGTTCACACCTGCTGGAGAGGTTATCGGGATGATAAGTTCGGAGAAAGAAATCGTTCCCCTTAGCGGAAAAATCGTACCAGCCGAAGCTAAAGTAAAAGATTAAAGAATAACAAAATTGTATTTTTGTAACAACCCGTACGTTTTAGGGAATGGTCGAAAAATGGTTACTCCAAGTGCAATACCTGATGATCCAGTCCATGAAAGATCTTACCACAGAATCCGTTCAAACTTACGCAGAAACAGATAGGAGAAGATGGATCTTAAGCTGGCCCGGACAAGTATAAACACGTAATAGTGATAGAGCGAGTTTTTTAATTTTGAAATCCAAATTCATTTAAGATTGTCCAATGCGTCGACTGTATAATGTGGACGACAGAAGTTACAGATTCGATAAAGTTCGGACGGTTGAAGGAACAAGTGGAGAGATGTAATGATGTCATTCAAACGAGCGTCAATATGGTTCAGGAGAAGCTGGAACCCGGAAGTCAGATAACAGTAGAAGCTCTCATAGTTATCGATGTCCACGGGAGAGACGTTGTCAGAGACATGGCAAATAAGAATGTGAAAAGTGTGGCAGACTTCGAATGGATTTCGCAAATGCGCTACTACTTCATTGAAGAAGAAAATTCTGTTAATGTTTGCATGATTACGACAACGGTGGCGTATGGTTTTGAATATTTGGGCAACATTGGCAGACTTGTCATAACACCTTTGACGGACAGATGCTTCAGGTACTTATTTCTATAAAAAAGAAATATAAACATCTCGAAAAATCTTTTCCTTTCTTTTATAGAACTCTAATGGGAGCACTGAAGTTGAATCTGGGCGGAGCACCTGAAGGGCCTGCAGGTACTGGAAAGACAGAGTCGTGCAAAGACTTGGCCAAAGCTGTCGCAAAAAAATGTGTAGTTTTCAACTGTTCAGATGGTTTGGATTATAAAGCTTTAGGGAAGTTCTTCAAGGTGCGCTTAATTAACTTAATGGTCCATGATCAAAAATTCGTATCTATTTTATTCAGGGTCTTGCTCAATCCGGTTCGTGGGCGTGTTTTGATGAGTTTAACAGAATCGAGTTGGAAGTATTATCTGTAGTGGCACAACAGATTTTAAGTATTCAAATGGCAGTGGCGAGCCACTTGGAAAAATTCATCTTCGAAGGGACCGAAATCACTTTGGATCCTACATGTACCGTATTCATTACGATGAATCCTGGGTACGTAACAAGCCTTTCGTTATTCAATCTGTCCTAATATTGATCACTACATAGGTATGCTGGAAGACAGGAGCTTCCCGATAACTTAAAAGTACTCTTCCGAACGGTAGCCATGATGGTACCGGATTATGCGATGATAGGAGAGATATCTTTGTACTCTTACGGATTTTCGGAAGCTTCAAGGTATGACACGTATATACAACAGTATGCTGATATTCACTATAAATAATAAATGCCCTTTTGTTGGTAGTTTGGCTCAAAAAATCGTGCACACCTACAAACTTTGCTCCGAACAACTGTCGTCTCAAAATCATTACGATTACGGCATGCGGGCGGTCAAGTCAGTTTTATTGGCCGCGGGAGCGTTGAAAAAACAATACGGATCTTATCTCGAAAGTCAAATTGTATTAAGGGCGATCATTGATGTTAACATGCCAAAATTTTTGGCCCAGGTATGATTTACGCATAAGATGAAATTAATCAATTGTACAAATCAATAAAAACAACTGCGTCTGTAGGACGTTCCGTTATTCGAAGGGATTTATTCAGACCTGTTTCCTGGAGTAGAACTGCCCAAATTCGAACGAGACGATTTGTTAAGGCATCTAGGGAAAGTTTTGGAAGACAAAAATTTACAGGCAACTCAGTGGTTTATGGGAAAGTGCTTGGAGATTTACGAAATGATCTTGGTTCGACATGGACTAATGGTTGTAGGGGAGACATTGGGAGGTAAAACGTCCGCCTATCAGGTAAACGACATGCTCAAATTAAACTCTAAAAACAATACTTATACGCTACAACGAATTTCAGTCACTTGGCGAGGGTCTCACGAAATTGTCTGAAGACAGGAAGGCCAAGTTAAAAGAGTATCGAGTGATATTCAGGATAATTAATCCGAAAGCGATTTCTATGGGCCGTTTGTACGGCCAATTCGATCCAGTTTCTCATGAATGGTACGACGGCGTTTTAGCGACCACCTTCAGGGAATACGCCATGGCCCAAACTATAGACCGCAAGTGGATCTTGTTCGATGGCCCGGTCGATGCCGTCTGGATAGAAAACATGAACACCGTGCTCGACGATAATAAAAAACTTTGCCTCATGTCGGGCGAAATCATTCAGATGACGAATAAAATGAATTTGATTTTCGAACCGGCCGATCTAGAACAGGCTTCTCCGGCCACCGTATCGCGTTGTGGAATGATTTATTTCGAACCGCGACTCTTGGGCTGGCAAGCATTCAACGAGTCGTACATTTCAAAAATTTCCAACATCCTCATCCCCGAACAAGTTGACATGTACCGCGAAATTTTAGACTGGCTTATACCCTGCTCTTTTGAATTCATTAGTAAAAATTGCAAGCAGTTTTGCGAAATCTCTCAGATCTTCCTCTTCCATGTTAGTATCTGTGAAATATGCACATGAAATTATCAATACCGACTGAATTTTTAATATCTGCAGCAATTCACGAAATTCCTTTCTGCCTTTATCATGAACGAGAGTCAAGTGAGTACCATTTGGCTGCAACTTGCTCTGGTCTTTTCAATTCTATGGGGATTGTGTTCGGCCATGACGGGGGAAGGAAGAAAGAATTTCGACGTGTTTTTCCGAAAACTGGTAACGGGAGACGATAAGAACAATCCCAAGCCTCAGGCTTTCCGGTTGCAAAAGAATCAGCTGTTCCCCGAAAGGTCTAGTATTTTTGAATGGGTCATCGATAAGAAAAACAACGGTACTTGGATTTCGTGGACAGAAACAGTCGATAAACTCCAGCAAATCCCACAAAATGCAAAGGTAGATGCAACAGTAATCGCTATTATATTTATAAGGGTTAAACCATTCTTAATATGACTAGGTAAGTGAAATCATGATCCAGACGATGGAGTCGTGTTGTCAGAAGTATTTCCTCAACATGTGCCTGAACAATAAACTTCCGATATTATTTGTTGGGCCAACCGGAACAGGGAAGTCGGCAGCTGTTTTGGATCATTTGATCAATATGAATAAGGACAGATTTTTGCCAAACATTGTCAATTTTAGTGCCAGAATTAGCTCACAAATGGTAAAACGAATCTAATGCAAAAAGCATCAAAAGATCTCACAGTTTATATATTCCAGACACAAGAAATAATAATGTCCAAATTAGATAAAAGAAGGAGAGGTGTTTTTGGACCGTCGATGGGAAAAACGTGCGTGCTATTCGTGGACGATTTGGGAATGCCCCAAAAGGAACAGTGGGGGGCTCAACCCCCTATAGAACTTCTTAGGCTCTGGATAGACCATGGACACTGGTTCGATAAGGACACTTCAATGCTCTACTTAGTGGATATGGTAAACCGAAAAACTCATCACTTAATACATGATAATGTTATATGTTTGCATTGATTTACAGCTGTTTGTAGCGGCCATGGGTCCTCCTGGAGGAGGCGCCAACGAAGTAACTCCAAGACTATTGCGTCATATGCAAATTATCGGTACAGATTCCTTTGAAGATGCGACACTTAGCAAAATATTTCTTGCAATTCTCGATTGGCATTTTGATAAAGGATATGTCGAAAATGTCTCCAGACTTTCGAGGGTAAGATGGGAGTGAAGTCCCAATTTTATTTATAAATTATTATTAAACAAATAATCGATCTCAGATGGTAATAGCTGGAACTTTGGAGGTTTATAAAGAGGCAATCACAAATTTTTTACCGACACCTTCCAAGTCTCATTACACTTTTAATTTGAGAGACTTTTCGAGAGTTATTCGAGGTTTACTGTTGGTCCCACCAGCGAGAATGACGGAAGGGGACAAGTTGGTTAAATTATGGATACACGAAACCTATAGAGTGTTTCATGACAGACTTATTGACGATGGAGACCGGTATTATACAGTTACAAATGGTTAAGCCTTTTCTAACAGGTCTTTCCCAAATTTTAGGAGTACATTATTTCAAATAGTACAAAAATCATGTTACGACAATCTCAGACAACACATGCATAAAATATTGGAGAATTTGATCCCTGAAGGAGAAGAACTTGCACCATCACATGTTCGAAATCTGTTTTTCGGAAACTACATGGAACCAGAATCGGACAAAAAAGTTTATGATGAGGCATGACAATTTTATCGATACTTTACGCTACAGTTAAATTTTTTAATTTACCTTTTTAGGTCATGGATTTAGAAAAACTTATCGAAAACATGGACTATTACCTATATGAATACAACATGATATCAAGATCTCCTATGAATCTTGTCATGTTCAAGTTTGCTATTGAACATGTCTCCCGCGTTTCCAGGATTCTCCTTCAGGACAATGGTCACGTTATGTTGGTCGGAATTGGAGGATCTGGACGACATTCCTCAGTTAAACTAGCGGCTTTTATGGCAGAATATTCAATGTTCGAAGTAAGCGCATTATCTCCATATTTTTGGACAAATTTAATTTTCGTATATTACATCAGATAGAAATATCCAAAAACTATGGATTTAATGAATGGAGAGATGATATTAAAGCCCTTTTGACCAGGGCAGGTTGTGAAGGGAAGCCCATAGTTTTCCTATTTGGCGATACTCAAATTTCTGACGAAACATTCACGGAAGATATCAACATGATCCTGAATACAGCAGACGTACCGAATCTGTTTGCTCCCGACGAAAAAGTAGAGATTTTAGAAAAAATGCAGGCGGCCAGCAGGGACTCGGTAACAACGTTATAAATGAAAACTTTATCGAATATTTAAAAAACGACAAACCTATTCGCAGGGTAAGAAAATAGAAACGACCCCAGTGGCTCTCTACAATTACTTCATCGAAAGAGTTAAAAGCAATCTGCATGTGGCTTTGGCCATGAGTCCCATTGGAGACGCTTTCAGAGTGAGGTGTAGGATGTTCCCGTCATTGATCAACTGTTGTACCATCGACTGGTTGGTGTCGTTTTGTAATAATTTAACCAATAAATAAATTATCGATCCTTGTAAGGTTCACACTTTGGCCTGACGACGCGTTAGAAAAAGTGGCCACCATGTTCCTTAGTCAGACGGACATCGACGAAGAAATGCGAGAAAAGTGCGTGATAATGTGTAAGAAATTCCACATGACTGTCCAAATGGCAGCTGAATCCTTCTACGAGGAACAGAAGCGAAGAACATACGTCACACCAACGTCATATTTGGAGCTGATACTGACCTTCAAAAAGTTTTATTATCAGAAAGTCGATCAGATAACCATGATGCGAAACAGGTACGAAATCGGACTGGAAAAACTCGACTTCGCAGCAGGACAGGTTAGCGTTATGCAGGACGAATTGATACAGTTGCAACCAAAACTGGTTGTCGCGTCTGGCATCACAGAAAAACTGATGATCAAAATTGAACAGGACACTGTGATCGTTGAAAAACAAAAAGAGGTAAGTTCCTACACAGAGTGTGGAATCAATAAACCTCAAACATTGATTTCCTCACCTATCGATGGAAAATGAATCACTCTTCTGTATTATTTAGATTGTTGCGTCTGACGAAGCTTTGGCCAACGAAGCAGCTGCTGCAGCTCAAGCTATCAAGGACGACTGCGAATCAGATTTAGCTGAAGCAATTCCTGCTCTAAACGCTGCACTGGATGCGTTGGACACATTAAAACCCCAGGATATAACCCTTGTGAAATCCATGAAAAATCCACCGTATGGTGTGAAACTTGTTATGGAAGCTGTAATATTATTTTTGTTAAAATATTACGCTAGATAATTAAAAATACGAATCTCACAGGTTTGCGTAATGAAGGGGATAAAGCCGGACAGGAAACCCGATCCTTCGACTGGAAGAATGGTCGAAGATTACTGGGGTCCATCGGTGAAGCTGCTGGCTGACATGAAGTTTTTGGAAAACTTGAAAAACTATGACAAAGACAACATCAGTCCTGCAATTATGAAGAAAATTCGGGACAGATATATCCCGGATAGAGATTTTACACCAGACAACATTAAGAATGTATCGACGGCCTGCGAGGGTTTGTGCAAGTGGGTGAGAGCGATGGAAGTATACGACAGGGTGATAAAGATAGTAGCCCCAAAACAAGAGAGGCTTAGGGCGGCCGAATCGGAATTAGCTCTCCAAATGGAAACGCTCAACGCGAAAAGGGCTCAACTTCAAGGAGTTTTAGATAAACTACAAGCTCTAAATGATGAGCTGGCCAGAGAAACAAAAAACAAGAAGGATTTAGAAGACGAGATCTTACTTTGCTCTCAAAAACTCGAAAGGGCAGAAAAACTGATAGGAGGACTAGGCGGAGAGAAGACCAGATGGTCAGAAACTGCAGCATATCTCCATAACTTATTGGGTAAAGTGATAGGCGATGTTCTATTGTCTGCGGGTGTTGTGGCATATTTAGGAGCATTCACTGTAGACTTTAGGTAAACATTTTCATTATATCGTATATCCTATCGTTCAATCAAAAACCAAAGATGAATTTCCTTTGCAGAACTAAAATTGTCAAAGACTGGAATATATTTTGTACGGATCTTTTAATTCCTTGTTCAGCAACATTTTCTTTGGTCTTTACTATGGGCGAACCGGTCGAAATTAGAGCATGGAATATTGCTGGATTACCAGTGGACAACTACAGCATAGAAAATGGTATAATTGCTACAAAAGCGAGACGATGGCCGCTAATGATAGATCCACAAGGTAAAAGAAATTTTACCTACAGCAATAGAGTAGAAATCTAATCTATTATTTCAGGTCAAGCCAACAAATGGATCAAGAATATGGAGAAGCAAAATCGACTTCAAGTAATAAAACTAACAGACGGTAATTACGTGAGAGTTGTGGAGAATTCTGTGACTTTAGGTATACCTGTTCTTCTGGAAAACATCCTGGAGGACATTGACGCTGTTTTGGATCCCGTGCTGATCAGAAATATTTATAAACAGCAGGGAGTATGGTACATGAAACTGGGAGACAACGTTCTAGAATATTCGTTCGATTTTCGTTTTTATATTACGACCAAATTAAGAAATCCCCATTATCTCCCTGAAATTGCTGTGAAAGTTTCACTTCTCAATTTTATGATAACTCCTCAAGGTTTGCAGGACCAACTATTAGGAATCGTAGTGGCCCGAGATCTTCCAGAGTTAGAAGAAAAAAAGAATGTGATGATAGTGGAAAGTGCGAACAATAAGAAAACACTAAAGGAAATCGAGGATAAAATATTGGAAGTTCTCTCTTCATCCGAAGGCAACGTATTGGAAGATGAAACGGCCATAAGAATCCTATCTTCGAGTAAAGTACTTTCCGAGGAAATTCAGGCAAAGCAAGTGATTGCGGCACAAACGGAGATAGAAATTGACGAAGCCAGGAACCAGTACATACCAGTTTCGAAACATTCGTCCATCCTTTTCTTCTGCATTTCGGAACTGGCGAACATAGATCCAATGTACCAATACTCTCTCATTTGGTTCATCAACTTATATAATCAGTCGATCACAAACAGCGAGAAATCACCCGAGATTGAACAGAGAATAGTCAATTTAAATAGTCACTTTACCAACAGCATCTACAGGAATATTTGTAGATCTCTTTTTGAAAAGGACAAGTTGATTTTTTCCCTAGTTCTGACGGTGGGAATTTTTCGATCGAAGGTAAAACTACCTTATCGTTTTCTTGTTACGAAATAAAGAATTCGATGTCTGTCTTTATTGTAGAAATTAATCAGTGACGAGGTGTGGAACTTTTTATTAACCGGCGGAGTTGCTTTGGACAATCCCTATCCCAATCCAGGACCTGGATGGTTAACAGACAAGAGTTGGTCTGAAGTTGTCCGAGCAAGTAACTTACCTGGGCAAGTTATCAAAATAAATATGCACCTATTACTTTTATCACGGTATTATTATTTATTACTGTAGATTGGACAAGTTCAGAGAGTCCGTAGCTCGCAATGTGGAGCAATGGAAATCCTTTTACGATGCCCCCAATCCCCACGAAACGCCTTACCCTCAGCCAATGACTGAAGTATCGGGTCTGGAGAAACTGGTGGTTTTGAGATGCATTCGTCCAGATAAAATAGTACCAGCTGTACAGGTCTATCTACTTTTGTGAGTACTGATAAAACAATTCTAAAATTGCCCTTTATGTTTTCAGGCGTATATAGGGGAAACTATGGGTCAGGCATATCTGGAACCGCCGCAGTTTAATTTAGGAGAATCTTATTCTGATAGCAACTGTTGCTCACCGCTGATTTTCGTACTGTCGCCCGGTTCTGACCCGATGGCTGGCTTGATAAGGTTCGCAGCCGATCTGGGAATCAAAAAGACACACTTGATGACCATTTCACTAGGACAAGGACAAGTGTGTAATTGTTTAATGTTACTCCTCCCTTTCTATCACATCTTCTATTATCGTTAGGGACCAATCGCGAGCCACATGATCGACGTAGCGCTTGTAACTGGACAATGGGTTGTTTTGCAAAACTGTCATTTGGCCGAAAGTTGGATGAAGGAACTGGACCGAATTTGCAACGAAGTTATCATACCGGAGAATACGCACACTAAATTCAGACTCTGGCTGACCAGTTATCCGAGTAATGCCTTCCCCGTGGCAATTCTTCAAAACGGTACGTAAACATATTTTTCATTGTTAATTAAGCTGTATGACAGATAAGTCTGACTACATGTATCGATTGATTGCAGGGGTGAAGATGACAAACGAAGCCCCCAAAGGTCTTAGGTTGAACTTGATGAGATCATACACGAGTGACCCTATATCTGACCAAGAGTTTTACGAGAGCGTTCCAAATTGGAGAGCGTGGCAGACATTATTGTTTAGTCTATGTTTCTTTCATGCTCTCGTCCAGGAGAGAAGAAAATTTGGTCCTTTGGGATGGAACATTCCGTACGAATTTAATGAGTCAGACCTGAGGATTTGCGTTCTTCAGTTACAGGTGGGAATTAATTTGGTTTTTGGAGCAATTCACAGTGGCTAATTTCATTTTTTCTTTCTTTCAGATGTTCTTAAGCGATTATAGGGAGGTTCCTTTTGAGGCATTAACTTATTTAACGGGAGAGTGCAACTATGGAGGACGAGTTACCGACGACAAAGACAGAAGACTGCTCAATTCGCTTTTATCAATTTTCTATTGCCCTCAAGTTATCAACACTCCTAAGTGGGTTCTGTCATAATACATGTAGTGATAGTAAATTTGTTGATCCTTTTAGATACGCATTTTCTCCGAGTGGAATCTACTACATTCCGCAAGATACTTCACGAGAGGGTATAATAGAATACATAAGATCGTTACCTTTGATACCATTACCAGAGGTTTATGGACTCCATGAAAACGCAGACATCACCAAAGACAACCAGGAGACATTAAATGTGACGAAAATATAATACGACAAATAGAAATAGAAAATTCCCGGCTATAACGAATCTTTTTTTTTTCAGCTTCTCAACGGAGTCCTACTAACGCAAACTCAAATAACCGCAGGAGGTGCCGGTATGGATACAGACGCGACTGTTGTGGAACTGGCCAAAGACATCTTGGGAAAAGTCGAAGAACCTTTCGACATTGGAGCAGTGAGCGCAAAGTATCCAGTAATGTACACAAATTCGATGAATACAGTTTTAAGACAGGTATTAGAAGTTCGCTACACCATGACTGGATAAATTCAAAGTAGGCAACTATTTTAGGAGCTGATTAGATTCAATAGGTTGATTGTGGTTATCAAAGCGTCTTTGAAAAACATAATAAAGGCTGTAAAGGGCCTCGTGGTGATGAATCGCGATTTGGAGGGCGTGTATCAAGCCCTGGTCGTAGGAAAGGTACCTGGACCATGGATGAGCAAAAGTTATCCCAGTTTAAAACCACTGGGCTCTTATATCAACGATCTAATCCTAAGGCTCGTACTTCACATACTTCATAAGTTCCTATCAACATACAACATTTCTTATGTCTTTAGGTTGAAGTTTTTACAAGAGTGGATAGACAAAGGACCGCCCAACGTTTTCTGGTTGTCTGGATTTTATTTCACCCAGTCGTTTTTAACTGGAGTTTTGCAGAATTACTCAAGGAAAAAAGTCCTCCCCATTGATTGGATTCATTTCGAATACTATACAACGCAATACGAAACAGATGTTACCGAAGTCTTAGAAATTGGCGTATTTATCAGGGTAAGTTAACATCATTAGGGTAGGTTAACACATATTTATATAAGATATATAAATAAGTATTTCGTAAATATACCTCGTAATTAATTAATCACAAGCAGCAATGCAGAGAGGAGGAAGAAGAAAGTATATTTGTGGACGTGAGTAACAAATTAAGATTATAACTTAATCGTTGTCTTTTTCAACAACTTGGGCAATCAAAATCGTTAAATTGTTTTTTAATAAACAACAATAAATTTATGGTCGACATTTTAACCAAATCACAAGCTATAATTTCAAACTTTTTACGCCATAACATATGTAGGTAAATAAATCATCGAACAAACCGAAGTAATTGGCAGTACACCGCCATCTATAGATATTTACTGCTAACTGTAGTATTTTGTATTGTATCTACATGCCAAACTGAATCTGCGACCAACTTATATACGTGATAAGCACGTAAATCAAACGAACAAAAATCGTTAAGCTACTAAAATTCATTTTCAAATTTAGGGATTATTTCTGGAAGGCGCCCGATGGGATCGTCAATTACGTCGCCTAAACGAATCGTATCCGAAAATTCTGTTCGACACAATACCAATAATGTGGCTAAAACCAGCAATTAAAGCCGAGTACAAGCCTAGAATGTCGTACACTTGTCCCCTGTACAAGACCAGCGCAAGAAGGGGTGTCCTGTCGACTACAGGACACTCCACTAACTTTGTCATGTATGTTATTCTCGATTCCGACAAAAAAGAAAACCACTGGATCAACAGAGGAGTCGCATCACTATGTCAACTCGACGATTGACTGAATTTTATACATGTATATATTTTTAAATAAAAGTCCGTAAAAAATATTTAACTTTGTCATTTTTAATTGTATATAGTATTGGCGATTATACACAATAAATTTTTGAGCAACTCCCCCCATTAGTTCTGATGTTTTAACCAACCTATTTATGTACACACTTCATCTTAGTAGTAGCACCGTTAGAATCGATAATAATTTTTCTGGGGGTAAACTGCTTAATAATTTCATCTTTATCGGTTTCTATTTCGGAAGAATCTGTACGACTCCTTATTGATCCCGTAGAGCACTTTTCTTTCTCAGGTTGTTGTTTCGATTTCTTGAAAGGTGAATTTTCGTTTTGTTCGGCGTTTTCTTCTTCTTCAAAAGCATACTCGCCTTCTTCAGGTATGTTTTGAATACTTGACATATTCTGTTCGTAGTCTGAAAATAAACGCGTCTAAAGATTGCAATCTTACAGATAGTGGTATTGGTACAGACAACTCTGGCGTTGGTCCAAGCCACGTGGAGAGCCACAGTGAGCATTTCGACCTTTTTCCCTCCTCCTCTGCCTGTTACACACGAAATGGTCAGATCTTTTCTGTTGGACAACATAAGGCGGTAAATCTTGCTGCAACAGTGAACAATTCGTTTCTGTGGTACGTTGTGCCGAGTACAAAAATGGTTGTTGTTGTTGTTGTTGAGTGGTTTCTTGACTGCTAAGAATAACGTTTCCGCAATCACTGCATTCCCTTTGGTCGTCAGATGTGGCTACCTGATATTCGTTAGAGGAGGAACTAACAAGGTTTTGAGCCTCCTTAACACAAGAGATGCAATTTTCATTTTTTGTTAGAGGAGGAGGAGGAGAATGATGACTTGAAGATCTTTTGATTTGACCTCGAACCGCCGTCGGTATACGAGTCTGTGACATTTTTCTGGATTCATCTCTTTTGTCAGATGTGGAGTAGTCCTCTTCCAAATCAAAACTTTGGGTCGTAGATCCAGTATTTGTGTCTAAAAGGAAACGAATGGGAGAGGAATTTGGGCAAGTGAGGAATGATGACTTACATCTGGGTGTAGTTTCTTGAGAACTATCTCTTTGAAGCGTTTCCATAAGTTCTGTCGTATAATTTTCGATGTCCCTTTGAGATACTAGTGGTGGATGTAATGCCTGTTCTTTGTCTTTACTAACGGTTCTGTGTCTTTTGGAACAGTGTCCAATTTTTTCGTGACACTGAGCTACTTTCTCGATATTGGTATCTGTTGATGTATCTTGTCGAGTTTCACTATTGGACGTTGTTTCTCTAGTAGAATTATCCTTCAGACTTTCAGAAATAGTCAAAGGAGAGAATGCTTGGTTTTTGAGAATATCGATGACCTTTTGAACAGGCATCATTTGATTTCCTTGCAACAATTGTTGACCAATGATTGCATATAGAGCTTGAAAATTATCGTCATGTTCTCTACCATTCCCTTGATGTTTGGGATCATTACATACGGTACTGGTTTCAGTGCCAGATGAATTCCTTTGAATGGTTGGTTCTAAGTCTGTTGAGGCGTCGCCCATTTCAAATTTGTTACCTTTACATTTGTACTTTTTCTTTGCAATATTCTTTTCTGTGATAAAATTTCCCATCACGGTTGTGGAGACGGTTTTATGTTCATTTTCAGATTCATCAGTGACGGATACTGAATGAATGGTTCTTGCCGCGAGTTTTCGAGAAATTGGTGCTGATTTTGTATGAATTTTGGCTTCATCTGTACTACTGGTCAAAATTATAGACGATTTTTTGTTGTTTGGTATGCAGCATCCACTATCCTCTACGATTTGACGATACTTGTCTTCTTTATTGAATACTACTCCTGCATCTCGATTATTTTTCCGACTTGTACAGTGAGAAGTATGTGCTTTTTTCTTGTCATAAGTAGTTGTTGTTCCAGGACTTTCTGAACTTGGTGAAGAACCGTATATTTTCTCAGGGGATTCAGACTTTCGACATATACTACTTGCTGTATGAGGCCTAGATGACGATTTTTTATTTTGTTTTAACGAGTCTTCCTCAGATCTCGATTTTGAGGTGCAATCCCCATGAGAACATTTGGAACACAAACCCTCTTTGTTTAAAGCCGTCAAAGAAGAAAGCAACATAATAAAATCAGGCAAATCAGGCATGTTCACGTTGATTGTGTCTTCAGATTTCGCGTGGCATTTAACGCATTTCTGATTATTCGTTTTGGTGATATATTCGTTGATTATGGCGTGACAAGAATTAATATAGTTAATCGCCTTTTTATAATTAACAATCGTCTGTTGATTTACAGGTTCGCTATGGTTTAATACGTTCGCATCCAAAAGTTTCAGTTGGAAACAATTACGACAAGAACAGGTTTTATAATCGGTGTTTGTTTCTACGCTTTTCTTATCTGATTTACTACTGTCCCATAAACATCTTGGTGTTTTAGTTTTTGAACAATTTTGAGATTCCATCGCATAAAATTTCACTCACACATTACCACTTTAAATTAACACTTTTTACACTCACCCCCATAACCAATGTCAAAATGACACAATTAAAACCTTTAGTACCTACCTAATTACATGCCACCCCTGTAAAATTTATAAAAGTATAATTTCAAAAATTCTGCCTATTCATGGATGAGATGTACTTACAGCGTAATTTGATAAACAAGGTGGAGCAAGATTTTTTTTATATCTCTGACTTTATTGCTTTAAATAAAAACTTAAATTAATTATTTGTAGTAACCTATTAGTTTGTTTTATTTCTGTCAAAATCTGATGTTAAATTTCATACAATTTGATTTCGCTAAATTTTGTTTGTGTAATTAAAAATTAGTTGCTTATTCTATAAATATGAGCGACGGAGATCCCCCACCAGTTCCCCATGGACCTCCAAAATCAAACCCGAAACCTATGCCAGGTAAAATTAGTTAACATGAAAAACATGCGATTAAGCCCTTAACATATCAATTATTTTAGGGTTTAAGCCCACACCAGGCCCTCCTGCTCCACGCATGATACATGAAGATGAGACTAAAGAAAATTCAAGAAACAGGCGTTGATATGTTAGAAATAAAAATTTGTTCAATTGCTTGAACAATTTGTAATAACGTGAATAAAAATTTAAACCAACTCAAAAGTTCTTTAAAACTTTTCTTGATTCGTTTTAAAAAGGATGCATCTTGCACGTAAATTAAAATTGGAGTAGGTTTGCAAGAAGACTGTGGAAATGGGAAATTTGTGTGGTAGAAGTAAAAAAGGTGTTCAAATGAAATGAAACAGAAGTGGGAAACACCTCTTCTAAATCGAACTAAAGCATGTATAGCTTCGTGTTAAAAGAAGTGTGCCCACTTTTCCTTCTGTTACGTGTTTTTTAAAGTAATTTATTTCGCTCGGTTTTCACTGATATCATTTGATTATTTTTGCTTCAAAAGACGCTATAAAAGTTCAAAATTTGTACTCAACATCTTAATTCGAAAACTGCAGCTAGCTGAATACTAATAAATGTGTAATCTAAGTAATAAATATTGATATTAGTGTTGGTAAATGTGTCATTACAACTTTCTATTTTAAACTGTTATTATTACTGTGTTGTAATACGGTTATTCAATCAAAAACAAACATAAATTATTCTCTGGCATATATCGTGTATCATATTAATAAGATATAAATTTTGTAAAGGGTAACTAAAATTATTATGCAATATAACGACGAGACGATATAACGATGACGATCTATCACATAAATGTACGTTACACATAAAAAAGTGTAGCAAAAAATATTAAATTAACACATTCGTAAGCAGTCACATAAATAAATTATCAATAGATTTTTTGATTTCCCCAAACGAAGTAATAATAAAAAATAAGTAACACTAAGTTGCTTTTTTTAAACAACTACTCAACAAAAACTATATTTTTCGCAACTAAAGTGTATCCACAAACTTAAAAAAATTGTACGGGGTGATTAGGTGAAATGTAAACTCTTGATGGTGCTACAGGGTAAATTTAGTTCTACTTTTTAATACTGTATGTCAAATTTGGTTACACTGGCGCAGAATTGAGCAGAATGTTAAAAAAACCCCTGTACATCACATGGATTAGTTCAATTTACATAAAAAAAAAAAAATAAAACAATAACTGGATCACGTTTGTAGATTCTTACAATGGTAAGAAATGCATATTTATAATGAATGAGACCAAATAAACGTTTTTTAACACCTAACAAATTGAAAGCTGTGAATACTAACTTTTTTAATTTTTCTTGAAAAACTTTCAATCACTTCAGATGAATAGAAGCTTGTTCTATTCAGCTACTTTAAGCTTTTCTATGCAATTTGATACAACTTCTATTTCAGGTACAAAGTTGCTCCCTGTTGTCTCTGCCACAATGTTCTCCAAAGATTTTGCCTTCTTCAGTTGAGCAAGTTCGAATGTTTGTAAAAAAGTTTCCTCAACAACTTTCCTCACCACACTACTCGACTCTTCATTGTCATTATTCTCTGACTTTGTTCTGTGCCTCTCTTCACGTTTTGGTATTTGATAAGGCTTATATCTTACATGGGGTGTGACTGGCCTCACTTGGAAACCAATGGACACATTCGAAACGTATCTGGTGTTAATTTTTAGCATTTTACACAGATTTTGCTGATGGATTTCGTTCAGGTACTCTTTACGCGAATTAGTGCACGTTGCCAACATTCCAAGCTCATGAAGAGCACTATCTAACTCTGTTAAACGTACTGAAGGAATAGCAGAATTCGAAAGCTGAAACCAAAGTTTACAATCTATGTAAATACTACACAATTACACGTTACATTACAATAACACGTTCTTAACATTCATAAGCAACAACACATGGTATTATTTAAACAATTTCACTGGTTTACACTGTAATATATTAAAAAGAAAGAAACACTGACATGTGTTGGATACAGTAATAGTAAAATAATCCATACCTTTATCTGTAATTCATCGCACTGCATTATATATCCACTCACTACTTTTTTCGTATATGAATTTGCAATAACAAACGATTATTAACATAAACTAAATATGTTTATTTACACCGTTAGTGTGATGATGACCTTCTATTACAACAAACATATGTACAAGCATCAGATTCAGATTGTTGACAATCTACTGCGTATATAACATTATCTATGGTATACGACAGATACTTTCTTTATGTTGCAATATACCAGTGGCGTATCAAAGCGACTTTTCCAACACAACATAATTCAATTGCATAAATCTTATTGAGACACAGGACATACTTCAGGTAACATTTTAATGCTTATAATAAAATTATGTATTATTTATTAAAAGGACGAAACGCTTTTTATACGTTAATTATTTTATTATGAAGTGTTTACGGTCCAATCTCGAAAAACTCATCGTCGTCTATCTTTCTTTGAGAATAAGGTACTTCTTTATGCATTCTCAGAAGGTTTTCCATAGTTAGAAAAAATATAATGTTGTAAAATCCGTAACAAACAACGGCGGGTGTAAAGCCCTTCCACAAAGCCAGATAGCCTTCTTGTCTAACGATTTTCATAAAGCAATCCACAGATCCACTATTACACTGAGGAATACTTTCGAAGTCATAAAAATATTGCAACCTATAAAAATTTCATCGAGCTGATGGTAAGAGTCGAATTGAGGGAAGGAGAACAAACTAATTTAATTATTTACCTCACTTTAACTGCATCGAAAGGTAGATATAGGAAACACATACATAATGTGGCAGCCAAACTGCATAACATGTGGCATGCGACTTTGTCGCCAATTAAATCTATAAAATAACAGTAAGTTCTTGCTCAGTATTCTCATCAGCACGCTATAAACAGATCCGACAGACTAGCGATCAACCTAAAGTGCCGTTGGTTAATGGGGAAATTAACTTACAACTAATTTTATCAATTTTTCGTATTTGTCATGTTACGACAAACGCGATCAACAAGTGCGCTGTTAGATTAAAAGTACATATTGTGGGTTCATTATGATTAACAAGATCCTTTTTAATAGGACTGCACCTACAGTGTGGCACACGCCGATAATTACGAGCATCATTGGTTCACTCCTTTACTTAAATAAGACCTTGTCACACCCACAATTACAACAGAATCTTTTAAGAATTCCTTTACTTAATGTTCTTCTATGTATTTGTCTACAGGGCGTTTTATTTTTGATCTTTAATTTGGTATTTCGATGTTTACCATTTTTTATGAGATATTCTTTAGCTTCTGAGTATGCAACAAACTTGGTAATCGCGGCAACTGAGGCTCTTAAAACGGTCACAGGGGCAGCCTTGAAGACCCCCCTGATTCCATCTTTTTTTCGTATTTCCCAAAAAGTCCGATAAACTCCTCGAAATCTCATTCGTTCCTCAGCGGGTGACGTTAGGATTCTTATTCTAACCAGGTCGTAGGGATGACTGAAAAAGCCCGCCAATGCACCACTAGTCGTCGCATACAACACTTTTACTCTAAAGGGGGGCGAAGTATCGAACTGTCTGACAGTGAAGATAAAAAAATAAAGTCTTGAAGATGAACCCGTTAATATTGAAGAACTAATACTCACTTATGGTGATAATCAACCAAAGTCTGATAAACACCAATTTTAATGCCCGAAAACATTTTGTGTTTTGCAATTGCCGGGCCTAAACCTGAATAAAAGGATATAAATCCTTCACCTTTAATAATGGAATGAAACACGTCAAATGAGGTCTTGTAGCCCTTATTCCGAGAACCGACCCCACTCGTTTGCATAACCGTCTTAATAATAAAAAGTGGGAATGTTATCGATTCTGCAAATGCTCTGGAATGTGGGCACAATTTTAACAAAATTACCATTACCAGCCACCAAAACTTATATTATTTATAAAATAAAAATATTCACCCAGAAATTGATCCAAATAAAAATTTGAAAATTACCGGTACTTCTTTAGAATCCATAATTCAAAAATGGAAGACATTTTATTTTGTGACGAAGCTACTGCGCTGTGAAAGTAAAAATTCTGATTGAATATATAATTGTCAAACACAAAATTTTGAAGTGGCACAATATATTTTAACGTCAGTGCGTATTGGAAATTTAAAATTTAATCATGGTCAATATTGGGATCAATGGATTTGGGAGAATAGGGCGTCACGTTCTTCGGGCATGCATTCGAAAAGGTCTCAAGGTAATCGTAATTTATAAATTATCGAGAAGAAATAAATGACCCATTTTCGTATTGAAGGTGGTAGCTATTAATGATCCCTATTTAAAACCTGGTCACATGGCGTACTTGTTCAAGTTTGATTCGGTTCATGGGAGATGGGAGGGCGAGGTAAAATGTATGGACTGTTTTCTCGTAATTGATGGTAGGTAAAGTACACAATCGTCACAATAATGACATTAACTTAACAAAGAAGATGGAAGATTTAGGAAAATGAAATTTCATCCTTTTTAAAACAATTTAGAACAAAAATTATTCGTGACTAGCGAAAAGAACCCAAGCAAAATCCCATGGGCACAACTGGGCGTGGAATACGTTGTGGAAGCAACAGGTGTCTTTACATCTTGTGAGAAAGCTTCGGTAATATCACACAAAAGTCGAAATTCAATAATAACAAAATCTTTAAAATTATTAGATGCACATTGACGGTGGCGCAAGGAGAGTCATCATTACAGCCCCTTCTAGCGTGCCCACTTTTGTGGTGGGGGTCAATCACGATAAATACGACACCGACATGGACGTCATATCCACGGCCAGTTCCACCACCAACTGTCTGGCTCCACTGATAAAAGTCATGCACGAAAATTTCGAAATTAGCGACGGCCTTATGAGTGCAATTCACGCAATGACCCCTAACCAGACAATCGTCGACGGGCCGACGGGAAAAAGATGGCGAGACGGCAGAGGGGGACTTCAAAACATCGTTCCCACTTCTACAGGAGCGGCCATAAGTATCGGGCAGGTTTTTCCCGATCTTCAAGGGAAAGTGACGGGAATGGCTATGAAAGTACCTGTTGCAGACGTTTCTGTCGTCGATTTAACCGTTCGGTAATTTCCATTACAATTGACCTTTCTCATAATTGTATACCGAGTGTTTGTAAAATTGAAATATATCCCGTAGATTGAAAAACAATGCACCATACGACGAAATAATGTGTAAAATAAAAGAAGCCTGTGATGGCTACCTGAAAGGAATCATGGGCTACACCGACCATCAGGTGGTGTCATCTGATTTTATAGGGGATACTCGCTCCTGCATCGTCGATTGCAGAGCAGGAATACCTTTGAATTCGAATTTTGTAAAAATGGTAGCCTGGTACGACAACGAATACGGATATGCCTGTCGAATAAGCGATATGTTGGACTACATGAGCAGCAGAGAAGCTTGCCCTTGCTAAGTAAAGATCGAAAAGTGAATTTGATGTGTTTAAATATATATCAAATAATAAAGCAACGCAAAATTGTTTGTCTTCACGTTCCGCTGTATGGAAGCTACTTACTTACAGCGACCATTTTTTAATAACCTTGTAAATTAATTATAAACAAAGTAAAAAGTGCATACTTATATATTTATAGATAACTAGAAACATACAAAAGAATCGGTGAAATAATGTGGCTAAAACGCCACAATAAGATTAAAACATAAATCCTAATACAAAAAAAAACAAATGACAACATACAATACAGTACAATAAAAAACACAAGTACTTAGAAATATTCATAAGCGCATAAGAATGCAGGTACAGCAAAAGATTTTTAACAATAACATTTATTGTTTAGAATAATAACAATAATTATAATATAAAAACGTAAAGGTAGAAACTAAATTTCTAACTGGAACTGTTCGGAGTGATCTTCGCAGCTGTTTTGGTTCGAATACCTTCTAAACATGGTCCTCTTCTGTGCCTTGTTGTACCCATTTTTCGTATGAGGGGACCCTTTGATAACGTTGTCGGGCAGATAGTACTGGGGAGGTGTTCTTGCAAGCGGCGAATTCCGAAGGGTCAACAGAAACGACTTGTCATAAACAATTTTCGAGCCTGAAGTAAATTTTTCAATTGCAAAATGCCTATCGACGGTCGATTCATCATAATTTCATGTTAACACACTGATTGTACGAAGGAATATTGTTGTCTCTCAAACGCCACAACAAATAATACATATACAGAGTGTCTCATACAAGTCGGTTATATTTTCAAGCTAATTAAAAGTGTTATCTACGACTTGGACATTTTAAAGGTACTTATATGTTCCGGTCAAACGTGGACATTTGCATTTTTGTCGCATAATAATGAAACACGTGATGACTTGTCTTTTGAATTAACGCACCAGTCATTGCTAACGAATACTAAGCAAAAAACCAACTAGGAATATTTATGAGTTCGAAAACAATGCATTATTTAAAACGTCGATGAATATTTCAAATAAAAAAAAATGAATGAATGAGCATTATCAGCTATTAATTATAGATACTAATACGTAAGTATGTCTTTTGCTTTAATAAATATTAGCAAACACACCCTGTACATCTACTGAAAGTCTGCTAACATTCACTTTCTGTGTGTAAAATATTATCAGCCATGCCAATAAATTTCGCGAAGTGCGCAATTTTCGCTAACACATTCTCAAGGACGCTACACATATTATACATATTTTCATGGCAGTCCAGTGCCTACAAAAATTAAAAGATACCGTTTTTGTAAATTGAAGTCCAGATAATAACTCCTATCAATTGTATCTATATCGGTACTGGCTGGCGAGAGTTAAATTGCGCCTTTTCAATTCAAATGTTACTTGGATTACAAAACATTCGTGTGCATGTAATCATAATCAGTGAAAAACATGCGTCAATAATCCCACACGCCTTTAATACATACTTGCGTTCGTCTGATGATGAGATGAATTTAGAACTTTCTCAAGTCTTTGCACTTTGCGTGTGAGTTTGAACAATATTTGTTACAGAAATGCGTAACTAACGCCGGATTTAGCACTGGGGGCCTATGGGCACAGATAAGGTGGGGGTGTCCCTGTTACATCAGACAAACGATGAACAAATACAAAATATTCACTTTACTACGTACTTAAAAAATGTTACGGATTCCAGGGTAAAAACGTAATCAGATTTGGATGGAGTTAATTTGTGAGAGCCGGGACGCCAGCACAAAATGCCTTTATGTATCTAAATCCGAAATAACATTTGGTAAGCGGCGCCAAAAAATTACACTTGAGCATATTAAGAAATAATCAAGTCTTCTTTATCTTTTCCTTAACTGATTAAAAAATTAAAAAATCGTTAAAATATTTCAGAAAATGTAAACATACAGGGTGTGCACACGTATATTTGCAGAACTATTACCGATTTTATTTGAAAAAGATGATAACTAAATCAATAATAATTAAATACATAATCAGTTAATGGATTACTCAAGCTATAGGTACATAGCGTCTAATCCATTAATAGGTAATTAACAACGGTTTGCTTTGAACAATGAAAATTGTGTACCTAATTAAACAGAAAGCGGAATTAAAAAAAAAACTCTTCAGACATAATTTAGTCATCTTTCGGACATACGCAGACACTCACAGTTCAAGGGCACTTTACCGGGCCGTGTAATAAAATTTAATGTATGCTGTAGCCTCTGTATACGTATTTTAATTCAAGGTAACATTAAAACCGAAAAATTTAACATATTATTATAGCAGATATTTGTTAGCATTTTCGTAAAATAAATTTCTTCCCAGTCAGTGTGTTAAGGATTTTAATAGGTCTTTGCGTCATCTACTTACCTCCCGGGGTGGTGGAATACAGGGAGCCACCAGGAGTGGTGGAGTAACTTCCTGTGGAGTCTAGAGATTCGGAATCTCTCCTGTTCGGTATCGGTTTCGATTCTGACAATTGTCTCATAAAAGCGGACCCCGACATCTTCAACTCTTTAATATTTACCCTTGTTAATTAACTAATCACAAGCTGAATCGTCAGTAACGTCACTAAAATGAATGCCGATAAACCCGACGATCGCCTGCTAGATAAAGAAACCCGCCTCTCCCGACATGGAACACGTGGTACAGAAAACGATTCGACACTCCCACTTTTAATAAACAAACTACATAATATGTGCTGTATTGTTGTTATTGAGAATTAAATAAGCATGAACTCTTATGCGGACGCATGTGTGTGTATATGTGTAAATTAAAAATATACCGTAATAGGCAGAATGGCGCGATAAAGTAAAAATATGTAACAAATTCGTAACTTTTGCTTGTTTACCAATTTAAAATATAGCATTCAACATTCCTTGCGCAGAAACGCTCTATTGTATTTTCTGTTTTGGATCCGATTCAAAATGCGAAAAACAAACAACTCTGTTTTCCAGTTTATTGGCACAACTTACATAATTATCATATGTAAATGAACTAACTTACAACTGCGTTTACGATATACGTAAAGTAAGTCGCACAAATGCTTGGTATTACGTGAAATTATAACGCAGGTCAGCCACAAGAAAAATAACAGCCGTTTAAACTATGTCAATATCCGGTTTTTCTAAGGCAAAATGATTCTCGTTTTTTATGAGGAGAAATAGTAGATTCTAAACTGAGGGAAGAAGATAGCTGTATACTCTTGGGTGAAAACCTCGCAAAAGATGGTAAAATCCATTCCTAATAAGGAGTAAATGTAATGTCTTACGCTGTAAGGAATACTGCGCATTCGTCCCTGTAATCGGGGAAAAACGTCGTAGTTTCTGTGTGGGTGGAGAACCTCGTGGAAGATGGTAAAGTTTTTTCCTAATAAGACTTAAATTCGATGTCATACCCAGGAGAAAATACTACGCTTTTGTCCTTGAAATCAGGGAAAGACATAGTACCTACTTTCGTTATGTGTGTGGCAGATAGTATATTAGGCATCAAGGGAAGACAGTACGGTCTCAGATGGAAACCTCGCGGAAGATGGTAGAGTTCTTTCCTAATAAGAAGGAAATTCGATGTCTTTCACGAGAGGGAATGATGCGCTTTCGTCCCTGAGATCTGGGAAAGACGTCGTACTTTTGTTATGGGTGTGGCAGATAGTATATTAGGCATCAAGGGAAGACAGTACGTTCTCGGACGGAAACCTCGCGGAAGACAGTAAAATTCTTTCCTAATAAAAAGTAAATGCGGTGTCTTATCCGGGAGGGAATGATGTGCTTTCGTACAAAGATATCGTACTTTCGATAACGGTGTGGTAGATAGTATATTACGCACTAAGGGAAGGCAGTATGCTCCGGAGCAGAAACCTCGCGGAAGATGGTAAAGTCTTTTCCTGATAAAGAGTAAATGCGGTGTATTATCCGGAAGGGAATGATTAGGTTTCGTGGAAAAACATCCTACTTTCGATAGTGGTGTAGTAAATGGTACATTACGCATTAAGGGAAGACAGTATGCTCTCGAGTAGAAACCTCGCGGAAGATAGTAGAGTTCTTTGCAAATAAGAAATAAATTCGATGTCTTACCCGGGAGAGAATACTATGCTTTTGTCTCTGAAATCAGGAGAAGACGTCGTATTTTTGTAATAGGTGTGGTAGATAGTATATTACACACCAGGGGAAGATAGTACTCTGTCGGACGGAAATCTCGCGGAAGACAGTAAAATACTTCCGATAGTGGTGTAGGAAATTGAATATTCCGAGTCAAGGGAAGACAGTACGCTCTCGGTTGAAACTTATTAA